GCACGCAGAGAGGGTGAGGGGTACATGTACATGTGTGAGCACACAGAGAGGGTGAGGGGTACATGTACATGTGTGCACATGCAGAGGGTGAGGGGCACATGTACATGTGTGAGCATGCAGAGAGGGTGAGGGGTACATGTACATATGTGTACATGCAGAGGGGGTGGGGTTATGTGTACATGTGTGAGCACACAGGCTGTCACTGTAGCATCAGGTGCATTCAGGACTGTTTCTCACCACCATGAGTTCCATTTTCTCCTTGGCATCAACCACATTTAGGATGCACCCCTAAAACACCAGAGAAGCCCCCAACACTGCAGAGAAGATGGTCTAAACCAACATCTCATCCACAGGTCATGAGCTGCCACCCCCTGTGAGTGCACAGATTGGCTGGCTGCCCCTTAGCACCTAGCCAGGGTCCCCACCTTGTCGACATGAGCATGCCAGTACTCATCATGTGCTGTTTGGGCCTCTGTGCTGTTGATCCGGGAGAAGAAGGTGGGCTTTGTCAGGTACAGCGAGGATACACTGATGCCAAACGCTTCCGCAATGGTGAGCTGCACTTTCTGTCTCACATCCCTGCAGGTAAAGGACACACACATCACCTGAGGCAGTGCTGCCTTCAGGAGAGACTCTGACCACAGTTTTCATAGGCTCCATGTGGCCACATGGAACAAAGAAAAGAAGGAACAGGAAGAAGTCAGGAAGGGAAAGAGGCATGTGGGTACATGTGGCCCCACAACATTCACACATATGCATGTACATGTACATATGCACACACATACACATACAGTCATACACATATGTGCACACACATGCTTACACACATACACATGCATACACTATGTGCACACTCACATGGCTACACATTTACACATGTGTATACGCACACAGTTGTACGTATGCACACGTACATATGCACATGCACAATATACAGGTGCATGTATGTGTGCACACATACATGTGTACAGACATGCACATATGTACGCACATGCACACAGATACACATACATGTATGTGTGCACACATTCACATGCATCCAGACGCCCACACATATCCACATATGTGCGTACACATGTGTACATATATGTCCAGACATGCACACACATGCACACTTGTGTGCACACACATACATATGCACACACATGAATACACATGCACTCACATCCATATGCCCAAGTTCACATGCTTACATACGTACATATACATATGCACACACATACACACTCGCATGCATGTGCACACACATGCAAACATACACATGTGTGCACATATGGCTTTCTCACACCGATGGACTATTACATGCATGAGTGAACCTGATGGTCGATTGCCTGCAAGAATAATGACAAACAAAATAAGCATTTGCTGAATTGAACTGTACCTACATACATATACTACCTACATGAGGGCTCCAAACCAGTTTGAACAGGTTCAGTCATAGCTGAAGAACAAAACCAGAACAGATCTGAATTTTCAAAATTTGGGTGATCCAGAACACTAACCAGAATGGGAAAAATTACAGGTAGAAACCCCAGAACGGGAGACTTGGAAATGGGAGGCCTACCAAGCCCTTTCAAGACCTCATGTGGAAAACTGGATTACTGCCAGGACTATGGAGTGCCACACACATTCAAAGCGGAGAAGTCAGCTACCATATTTGAGCTGGGCACCGTTGTTTCTGACTCTGCTGACCAAGAGATTTGGTTGCTATGCAACATGCATGCTGACCCTGTTTTCCAAGAGGGTAGTTAAGTTTCTAGTTGAGGGCCGATCCATATTTTTGCCACTACAGTTACCATTCCAGTTCAACCGAATTTTAAAATGTAGGTCTGTTCTGGTGTTGCTTCATTGGCCACAACTGAACTGGGCTGAACTGGTTTAAAGTCCTGACCTACATACATAGCTATGCACACACAAACAAACAAACAAACAAAAACCTCACTGCCGTCAAGTTGGTTCCGACTCATGGCACAACCCCTCCTCGGTTTCTGAGGCGATATCACTATGGAAGTAGATTGCTCTAAACTCTAACTAAACTCTAATACTGGGTATCCAGTGATACAGCTCATACCATTGTTCGCTAATTCTCCCAACATTTCCAAACCACTGGTTATCTGTCATCCTGGCCATCACTACCTAAGCAGTGCTCCTGTCTAGACAAGGGTTCCTACCAGGGCCCCACCAGACGCTTCAGTGACCCCCTAAAAGTGGTATCACAAGGTGACCTGTGGTCTCAGTAGTAGAACCATTATCTTAACGCCAATGGTGATGTTCATGGCACTTCTGTTGAAATGCAAAATGCCAATGGTGATGTTCATAGCACTTCTGTTCAAATGCAAAACATCTCAGCCTTTAATACAGTGGAAGATATCACACTTTCATCAGCCAGCAAGGACTGTGAGGCTGGCACAGGGCCAGGCAGTGTTTTGTTCTGTTACACACAGAGTCGCTACCAGTTGGAGCTGACTAAACGGCACCTAACAATTATCAACCAAGACACAAAACTGTCCAAGGCAATGTCGTTTATTTAGTGGGCTTAATTTTCTTAATTTGTATTGACTTTCTAATGCAGAAGATCGCATGCAGCATTTTGCCAAGTTTTGGGGTTCAATAAACTCAAAGACCCTGACAAGCACACATAAAAAGTACATATGCTTCAGTGGGTCATCAGACAACAAACACACTTCTGTATAATCAACCAGGCATCTGACATTTGCTTCTAGAAACGTACATCTCTTGGTTGTGCCTCTAGCAGCCAGCAGGTCTCCTGCCTTCTGAGTCTCTGCTCCTCTGCCGCACCATCCTCCGTTTATTCCCACAGGTGCAATCACCCTCGTCACCTCAACACCACTTAAGTGGCTGAAACATTTAGGTCTTGGAGATAAAAGGCAGAGCTACACCTTTGTGGGTGTGTGTGCCCCCACTTCACGGGTTCCCTTACAACGACTGCTCCAGGTCTGATGTGGCCAGCGCTGTGGATGCTCACGGGACAGGTGGCCTCCACTCTTCACCAGGCCAGCTTCTGCCTCTTGGGCATCCACTCTAGCGAGTGACTCTAGAGACACCAGGTGTGACTTGGAGTTCACGTCTTCCACAGCTCCCCCCAGAAGTAGCCAGACAGAACCACTCAGAGTTGGATGAAAGCGTCTGGCAGCTCCCTCAACTGTCAGCAAATATTCTCTGCCTCTCTGTCCAGGACTATTCTGACGCCTCCCTGAACACTGGCCAGGCCCCCATGTAAATATTCACATTGAAACGTTCCTCTCGCTGTTTCAGCCCCTTCCCCCCCAACCCCTCAAGATGAACAAAGTCATGGATGCTACAATTCAAGCAAAACCCCTTCATGGGGGACAGCAGACACCTCGCTGACATGACTTAAGGGTCACTGCCAAACTTAGGAGTTTTCACCCAAACACACTTCCTTATTTCAACAAATACGTTTTATAACAACCACGACCATAAACTGAGATTACAATGACATTGCTCAGTGGTAAAATTCTTTTTTTGTTTAAAAATACTCACTTTTAACTCTAAAACCTAACCAAACCCCTAGAGGACAGAGTGGAACTGCCCACAGGGTCTCCAAGGCTGTCAATCTTCCGGAAGCAAAGCCCAAACCACACCCACTGCCTGGAGTAGATTCTGACTCACAGCACCCCTAGAGGACAGAGTGGAACTGCCCACAGGGTTTCCAAGGCTGTCAGTCTTCACAGAAGCTGACTGCCTCATCTTTCTCCCAGGGAGTGGCTGGTGGGTTCCAACCACCGGCCTATCTTGGTCAGCAGCCAAATGCCTTAACCACTACACCACCAGAGTGCCTTACTTTTAGCTGTAGTTGCAATTCAATGCAACAACTGCCATTGAGTTGGATCAGACTCATAGCAACCCCTCCTTGGGTTTCCAAGGCAGTGTCACAATGGAAGTAGATTGACCAACCTTCCTTCTGAGGAGTGGCTGGTGGGTTTGAACTGCCAGCCTTCTGGTTAGCTGTCAAATGCCTAGGCACTATGCCACCATATAGTGAGTCCTATGCTTTTTTTTTTTTTTTTTAAATGCTATTGGTGCCGTTTTCATTAGCTTTGGAAACACTCTTTGCTAATATGTTTTCGGCTGTTTCAGTCACTTCAAATGCTTCATTGTGGACTCTGATGGGCCATGTTCTTCACATTTTTCTGCATTGATAATTCTAGATCTTCTTGATTTGAATCCTAAACTTCGTGACTCACAACTGCCAGTCTGGCCAAATCTGCATTGACATCTTCCACTGTTAAATGTCCACTGAGTGCCATCTGCACGTGCACCAGCACCCCAGGAGTGTGAGCCTCACACGCCTTTTACAGCAACGCCATCTCGGTTCCCACTGCAGGGTGCAGGCTGCCTCCATTTGTGCTGATTTTGCGCCAGGCTCTGCATAGGCCGGGAAGATGGCCCAGACTGCAGGGACTGCTGGTGAGACCCCCTCTGCCTTGCCCCCACCGGCTCACGCTGCTGCCCCGCAAACACGAGAACTGCTCCGTGTCTCCCCTCCCGGGCCGCTCCCACTGGGCTCCACATACCCCACACCCAAACAACCAGTTTGCCGGGGAGCCACATGCCTGCTCGTGTGGACTGGCTGGGGTCCACATCTCTGGACTGTCACTCACTGTCGGACATCTGGGACAATGAGGCTAAACCCAGGAGTCTGTCTTAGGTGTGGGGCTATGAGCTACACGACCTCTGACTGTGCAATTTGGGCCTGTTACTCACTGATTTGGGTTCCCTCAAAACATGTCAATCCTACCCTCTGCCTGTGGTCAGAGTCCCACCTGGGTTCAGGTTGTCATCAGTGAAGGGGACAGAACAGTGTAGGGTGTGTCTCAAGTCCATCTCTTTCCAGGTAGAAGAGGCTACACAAGCGAGTGAGTGAGCAGAGACGCGGGGATGGATGCGGGAAGAGCAGAGATCTCCAAGGAGCCAGCGAGCAGAAGAGAGTAAACAAGCAAGCGAGTGAGCAGACACAGGGGAGGACGGATGCGGGACAAGCAGAGATGTCCGAGGAGCTGGGCAGCAGAAGTGAAGACGAGGGCCTTCCTGCAGAGCCCACAGACAGAGAGCTTCCCCCAGAGCAAGTGCCTAGAGTCCAGCCTCCCAAACTGTGAGAAGGGAGGTTTGTTAAAGCTACCCTCTGGTACTGCTTTACAGCATCACTAGACAGCACAGGTAGGCTCAAAGGGTTAATGAAAACCTTTCCCCTTCTCTCCGGACCTGTAACCTGGGGTTCACACTACAGCTCTTTCCCTGGAAAAGTGACAAGGTGAAATGTCAGCTGTGTTTGCAAGCAACAAAGTTCATGGTTAAAAACAACCCCTGGCAGTTAGGGGTGGGGTGAGGTGGAGAAGGTGGGGTAGGAGTTAAGCCGAAACCCCGAGGGATGCTGGGGGGCTGTGTCTGTGTGTCATCTGGACTTGATGGCTACATGAGCCCATGCATGTGATAAAACTGTGTAGGGCTATATACACACTCACTCCCACACACAGCCACACACACACACAGACACACTCACAGAGACAGTCAGACATAGACACACTCACACAGAGCCACACGCATACACACAGAGCCACATTCATACACACAGAGACACACTCACACACAGACACGCACACTCACACAGAGCCACACTCACACATGCCCACACAGAGACACACAGACACACACACAGACATACACACAGACACACATGCACACACAGAGATATACACTCACACAGAGCCACACTCTCACACACACTCACATATACACACACTCACACAGATAAGTCAGAGACACAATTACACACAGGCACACTCACACAGAGCCACAGCCACACACACAGACACACATGTGCACACACAGACACACTCACACAGAGCCACACTCACACAAAGCCACACTCACAGAGCCACACTCAGACACACATACACAGAAAGACACACCCTCACATATATACACACTCACACAGACACATTCACACAGTCACACAGACAGAGTCACACAGAGACACTCACACACAGACATGTGCACTCACACAGACCCACATTCACTCACAGAGACACACATGCACACACAGACATGCACACTCACAGAGCCACACTCAGACACACACAAACACACACTCACAGAGACACAGCTATACACAGAGACACATGCACACACAGACACACTCCCATATAGACACACACACAGAGCCACACTCGGACACACACACACTTACACACAGAGAGACACACACTTACACAAACTATGAAGCTGGGGAGACCTGTACGAGATTGAGGAGGGCGTCAGTGTCAGTTTCCTGGGGCGGCATTACTGCTTTGCACGCTGTCCCCGAGAGGCCCAGTGAAGTGGCAGTATACCTTTCTCTACTATTTCTCACAGCTGCATGTGGCCTCCAACAGTCATAAACCATGCAGCTCTGACACAGGCCATCCTGTGGGGACAGACCTTGTGCGGACGCAGATGGCTGCCCACTTTCGAGGTGCTCAGCTACACTTGGCCCTACCACCCACATCTCAGGACACAGGTTCCTCCAGCAAGTTACTTCTAGTGGCTGTTTTTAAAGAAACCAACTAAACAGTTCTGAATGTGTCAGCCCATGGGGCCTGCGTGTTCCCACCACACAGGACACGTATCCCGGTGGCCAGGTTTTCCCACAGGTTCACGCACAGCAAGCCACCCTCTGGACTCCAGACGCATCCTCAAAGACCTCGCTGGACCAGGCGCCCCTAACTGACCTCAGGCTCATGAACAAAGAAAGGGGTGTGGGCCATGACGGCTCCTGGACAGCCCTCTGAGCGGGCTCTCAAACCTCACTGGGCAGCCACCTTGCTCACGCTGAACCCCACACAGTCAGTCTCACTCACTGCCCCTCACCGGTACACCTGGAAGTCCTCTTCCGAGAAGACAGTCCGTATTTTATCCCCAAAGTACCTGTGGAAAATAAGGTCTTAAAGAACGTCCCATCTTCATCTCTCCCTTACTGACTGTACAGTCAGCCTTGGCTCCAGCCAGCCGGCCACTGCTGGGAACCTTCTTATCTGAAAGCTACTGGGTGTCCACAGCAACAAGCTACCTTAGAAAAAGGATGGGGTGGGGGAGAAGGCAGGGAGAGGGAGGTCCAGACCCAGTGGGAGTGAGGACATTTCCCAGGATGGGGGACAATCCCTCTGCTTCCCTCGGCCCCTGGTGGTGAGTGGTACTGATAACAGTGCAGACCCCCCTTGGGTCCGCGTTTCCTGCCTGACCCCTAAGGTGTGCAAACTGCCCCCACTGAGACCCGCCAGGCTGGGAGTGGGGGGTACACCCGGTGCTTGGATCCCCGTGCTGGAGGAGAAAAGCTCACTTCAGAATCTACCTGCGACAGGTATGACCAGCTTGTCTTGCTCTCACCTGTACAGGTTCACGAAGTGCTTCCCCACGGAGAGGGCTCCTGAGTGCAGGTCCAGAATGGAGGCCTGGGGAGAAGGGTGTGTGAGTCGGGCAGCAAGTGAGTCCAGTCCCTGTCACCTCCCTGCCACACTCCCCCACAGCCTCACTCCCCTCTCATTTGCATCATGTGAAAACTCATAGCGTGTCTTTATCCTGACAAGGGAGGTCTACCAGGAGTCTCTAGTGAGCATCACACTGGATGCAAGACGTAACAAATCCGCAAACGTATTCAAAACCGTAAGCAAGTACATCGGTGTAATAGGGATAAGAGACAGGACAAGAGGCGTAAGGATCCAAAAGTGAAAAGTGAAATAGTCCTTAATCAGCATGATTGCTCAGAAGACCCAGAAGAAGCCACAGACCAGCATCAGGGTTAAGAGGACAACTCACAGATAGCCAGGTACAACACCAGTGTTCAAAGCTGATAGTGTGTCCACACACAAACAACAAACAGCAACACTGTATTTAAGAACCCATACCACTCTTCCGGGAGCTCTGGTGGTGTAGTGCCTAAGGCACTTGATTGCTAACCAGAAGGCTGGCGGTTGAAACCTACCAGCCACTCCTCGGAAGGAAGGTTGGACCATCTGCTTCTGTAGAGATACTCCCTCGGAAACCCAAGGAGGGGTCGCTATGAGTCGGGTCTGACTTGACGGCAAATAACAACAACCGCTCTTCCGGGAATAAAAAAGGCCACACGCCTAAAGATGTTGGAGACCTTCCCAGAGAAAAGCATACACTCCACCAACGAAAGTGAGAGGAGTTGAGTCAATGGGGACAGACCATGTTCGTGGCCGCCAAGGTGGGGACTCTGCTGTGTAGACCTGCATGGGCAGCACAGTGTCCACTGGGTGCTAACGGGGCATGCTGTGGCATGGACATGTGCACCATAAATTCCATACAACAAAGCAAAGGGCCAAGGAGAGCCCAAACAGTTTGAAACAAAGAACCAGGTGTGGGGATACACCCAACAGACATCAGAACTTATCATAATGAGGTAGGAGTCAGGGGGACAGATCAAAGACAATGCTGGTGCCCGGAAGCCGACCCTGCACAGGGGAGAGGCCAGGATTGGACACAACAGGGAGGAGAGACCCTTCCTCAAATAGTTCTGGGGAAACAGGTGAGTCATTGGAAAGAGTGAAATTGGATCCCTACCTCACTCCACATACAAAACAATCCTAGGGAAGGCAAAAGTTCAGAAGCCCACAGTAAGGTAGTAACTTTATGATTTGGGAAGGAAAAGATTTCTTTAACAAGATACAGAAAACACAAACCACCAAGGAACAGGTCAAAGACTCAACACGCTTGAAATGCAGGAACTTCCAGCCACCAAAAAAAGAAATAAAAAGAATAACAAGACATGAAGTGGGAGGAGACATTTAACACAGACAGCCAACAAAGGTCAGTGTCCAGAACACATGAAGAACTGCTACAGGGCTACTACACAGACCAGAGAAGTGGGCGAGGAAGCCATGTTTCATAGAATTAAAAATAGGGGTGGCCAAAAGCCCAGGGAAGCCGTCGGCCTCATCAGCAACGAGGAAAGCATAACCAAATCTACAAGTAACTGTTGTCTTCATCCCCACACTGTCTCCCTCCCCCACATTGTGTCCATCCCCCGCACACATCTTCATCCCCCACACACTGTCCCCCACCCAGCCTGGGTGGAGTGATGCAAACCTGGTGTCTGCCCTCCCCTCGCTGACACAGTGACAACCAGAGGCTTAAATGCAGTTAACCTGCATACATAACAACTAAGCTCAGAGGCGTCAAAGCTGGCTGACTGGTCACAGACGAGTCCAGGGTCAGGGCTGAGGAAAGGGCAGAAGGCTGCTCTGCCCTCAGCAGGTTTATTGTAAAAGCCCCCTGAACTGAACTGAACAGAGTAAAGGAAAGAACGTGGCCAACAGAACTCAAGAGAAGTTGGTTTGCAGGACAAGTACAAAGTCAGGAAGAGAATTGGAAATACTGATCTTCCAGTAAAGTTTATAACCTGCAGTGTAATAAATTACCTGGTATGGCTTTTCTAGTCATAAGTCTTTGTAAACTCCATGGTGGAATTTGCTGTGATCAACTGAGGAGCTCCTGATTGTAAAAGTTATCCACCTGGAGTATTTCTATTGGGTGTGGCACAAAGCAATGTTCTGGGAAGTTCACTCTCTTTCAGGTGCTTAAAATTTTGATGTTATGATTGGCTAGTTTGGTCACTCTGCCAAGCTCAAAAGGAGGCCTCCTAGACGCAGAAGTCTCTCTGACTGCTGGCTGAGAAGGACGTGCTGCTGAGAGAAACATGCTCCTGAGAAACACGCACTGCTGAGAAAGAGACCAAGAGAAAGGCATTGCTGGGAGAGTGGCTGAGAGAGACTGTTGGTTGAGAGACGACAGGCTGAGAGAGACTGAGCGTTTTTCCTGAACTTGAATTGTAGCCTAGTGTACTTCCCTAATAAACCCCATAATCTGTGAGTTCTGTGTGATCACTGCAGTGAATTATCGAACTCAGCAGAGAGGTGGTGGTGCTGCGGAAGGAACAGTTGGTGTGAGGGCTGGAAGGAGGCAGTGTGTCTGGCCTCGCAGGGACAGGCTTGGGCTACTGGTGGTGATTCTGTCTTCCTCTTGTGGGGTTACAGGAGGTCAGAGATGTGGTCTCCCTGCTCCTTCGGCAAACCTGTCTTACCCAAACATTTCAAGTACACAGGGGATTAAGGCCTGAGTGGTGGCCTGGGTGATCCCAAGTGCACCAGGATGAGGGCTGGCGTCATGCAGCTCCCACCCTAACCAAGGAAAGCCATACACAGGGGCTGCTTGTGAGTTCAAGATCACGCCAGCGCTTCACCAGGACCAGACTTCTCAGAGTCAGAACAGGAGACCACCCTGAGCTGGGACTGCTGGGGCCTGTGGCCAGTGTTTCTGAGGCTCAAGGGTCCCTGCAGCTCCCACACAGTATCCTCTAATTGTTCTGTGCTGTTCACCATCCCACCCAGCCACTGGACCCCCACCTGACCCCCACCTGACCACTGGACACCCATCTGACCATCACCTAGACACTGGACCCCCACGTGGCCATTGGACCCCCACCTGACCACCACCTGGTCACTGGATGCCCACCTGCCCCCACCTGGCCACTGGACCCCCCACCTGACCACCACCCAGACATTGGACCCCCACCTGACCCCCACTTGGACACTAGATGCCCACTTGACCACCACCTGGACACTGGAGCCTCACTTGACTATCACCCGGCCACTGGACCCCCCATTCACCACCAGACCCCCACCTGGCCACTGGCCAAGGGTCTCAAACACAAATGTAACCTGGACCAGGTGCTGTGTTGGACCCTACAGGTGGCATTTCCAAGGCCACAGCCTCCCTGGGAGGGCACACAGTGGGAATACATGCTGAGCCCCCTAGGATACCAGCTGTTGGGGTGGGTGCTGGGGAAAGGGCTTTGAGGGATATGGGGCCTCCACACGGAGGTGAGGCCAGAGCCTGCTTCTCTGGTGCTTCCCACACAGTGTGAGCACAGAGCTGCGGGGACAAAGGCAGCCAGAAGCAGATGTACTCACCCCACCAGCCGATCCTCCCAAGGACAGGCCCTTCTCGGCTATGCTGCAGGGAGAGAGAAGTCACATCAGAATGTCGCAGACAGTGCCCTTACAGCATCAAGGCAAGCACTGGTCAGCGTGCTTAACGTCCGTCAGGAGACTCTGCTTCTCAACGTTAGTAAACAAATGTTTAGACCAAAGGATCAGTGTCCAAAGTCGCTGACCTGTTCACCGCACACCCCACGCATCAGAGACAACTGGGCTCAATGTCTTTAACATGGGTGGGCGAGGGGCTTCCACAGATCGGCAGATAGCTGACCCGTCTGGATGCCTGGGCTCCCTCCTCTCCCAGCTGAGGAAAACGACCCCTGGGGCTTGGCCACTGAGACCTGAGAGGGCCTGAAACCACACATGACTGGAGATGCTGAGACGCCAGGCACCGCAGCAGAGGTGTGACTCAGGGGTAGCCAGCCGTGAGTGAACCCAGTAATGCACTTACACTGCCACGGTTGTATCAAGAAGCAGGACCTACAGGGTGTCCACCCAGCATGAGGGCTGAGGACACAGACCCTGAGCATGTGCCTAGGGCCAGGGTCCTGTCCTGAAAGTGCCAGCAAGAAAAACCAGCGCAACGCCTCCTTTTGGGGGAGCCTTGGCGTCACAGGACCGGTGGGGGGACAGCACCCTCGGCGGTTTACAGAGGCCGAACCGAAGCGGCGACTGTCTGGCCCTGGCTCGGGTCCCCAGAGCCACTGAGGGCAGCACCATCCCCGGCCTCTTCCCTGGAGAGATCCCAGGCTTCCAGAATGTTCTGACTTTGACCACACCAGTCCCCTGGGATTTGGGGCTCCCACCTCTTCCTGGGAAGCACATGAGGAAATCTCATGTTTCCCCAGCCCCTTTCTTGCTTGTCTGTCCCACAAACCAAGTGCAAAGTCCCGTTACCTGCGGACTCGTGCCACCTCCTCCCTGGTGATGACCACGTCCGAGACGCCACGGCCACACTTCCTCGGGGTGCATCCTGCAGAGATGAGGCCGGGTTGAGCCAGGCAACCCTCAAAGCTGGGAGAACAGGCCTGTGGTGGGCCCTTAGCAGACCAGTGGACCCGTGCAGGCCTGCTCCCAGCGATCATGGCACAGTGGAGGGTCCCAGAGACTACAGAGGGTGGACAAGGCCTGACCACAGCACAGCGGCTGGGCAGCTGAGCACACGGCCCACAGGACACCAGCTAAATTCTCATTTCAGACAAATAACGGTCATTTTGCACACGCCCATCTCATGGAGTGTCTGAAGCCGCGTCTCACCGGCTGGCCCCACGAGGCCAACGTACCAAAGCATCTGTACTTGTCCAGCCCTCACACATGGCGCATCCGCCCCAGATGGATGCCTCATGATGCTCCTGAGCCATCACGGACTGCAGTCCCATCACCCACAGGCCCACTCTTGGCTCAGCTGTCACTCAGGTTACTGCCCTTTCCTGGCCTCGAGGAGGGCCATCATGGTATCCCACATGGCCTTCTAGTCCCCTGGACCCTGAGGTGCTCAGAGGGCAGAGGGCAGGAACATGTTCCCCTTTCCAACCTCTGAGAAACCCCCCAAGGTCCCATTCCTGCTGCAAAGGCCCTAGAGCAACTGCTGCCTGTCCCTGTTGTTGTTATGTGCCGTCGAGTCGGCCCCGACTCATAGCGACCCCTCCGTGGGTTTCCGAGGCAGTATCACTACAGAAGTAGGATTGCCCAACCTTCCTTCCGAGCAGTGGCTGGTGGGATTGAACCGCCAGCCTTCCCTGTGCAGCCAGAAAACAGCCCAGTCGCCATCCGCAGCACAATGGCGCCGCCTTGTGGAAGAGCCTGGCACTCTGATCTTGGTTCAAGTCGGAAGCGTCGCTCCGGATACGAGCATCAACTTCCTTCTGTCTTTAAAATCCAGGCAGGACTTTTCAAAGTGACGAGGTATTGAGGCAGCAGGGAAGTTCCAGAACACAGCAGCCAGAGGGCCCTCGGGTCGGCCGTGTCCCCCGGCTCACGCCCACTCGCCGACCCAGCAGCTCTCCGTGGGTCAAAGAACTTCAGCACCCTGGAGAGGGACCTGCGGGCGAGCAGGGTCACCTAGACCGCCACACAGCCCCCAGCACAGCATTGCGGTGAGACCAGGCCTAGGCCTGGGGCAGCACCTAGGGCAGAGGGGCCGGGACACCTGCGCCTCACCCCTGGTCAACCCTGCCTGTGCTGTGCAGGGTGCACCTCGGCCGTGTACCTTACAGGTGAGACGGGCAGCCCAGGGAGAGTGACGCCATCTAGTGGCTATGGTGGGTAGTGTAGTATAACCACCCCAGGAGAAGGGAAAGATCACCTGTCAGACACCCCGGACCCCCACAGACACACAGATACTCACAGTCACACAAAATACACACACACAAGCACACCGACACCTTAGCATACACAAACAGACACACATCAAACAAAACCCACTGCCATTGAGTTAACTCCAACTCATAGCAACCCTTTAGGACATACCAGAACTGCTGCAACACACAGACAGACATACACTGATCCTCAGCCAGATACACACAAAGACACACTCATACACAGGCACACAGAACACAAGGCATGCACACACAGACACTGGGACACACAGACTAACACACAGGCACACAGATACACACAGCGAGACCCACAAGGACAGACTCACACACAAGCACAGATACACACATGACACACAGATGCTCACACAAGGCACACACAGACACACACAGATACACACAAGGAGACACCCAGACAGACTCACACAGGCAAAATAAATACACATATCCAGACGCACACACAGGCACACACAGATACACATATCATTACACATATATGCTCACACAAGGCACACACAGACACACACACATGGAGAAAACACAAACCCATACCTAGGCAACACAGATACACACATCCAGACACACTCACAGATACACAGATGCACACACATTGACACACACAGACACTCACACCCAGTCACACAGGGACACACACAGAGATACACATGTACACACAGACAGGAGCACACCCCCCCGAGCACACTGGCCATCGCAGCATGCTACCACACTTCATCTCGCCTTACCGCTCCCTCTCTGGCCTCGGGGACCCCCCTTGGCACTGTACCTTCAAACCTCCGGTGGCTATCGTAGTCCTCGGAGCAGGGCACCTCAATGAACCTGCCTGGCAGGACCTCGCCACGGCGGGCCAACACCTCAGTGATGCCATCGTCACCCCCCATATGGCTCCAGAGCAGGAGCATGGCAAGCACAGCGCAGGCCCCCAGCACAGCGGTCTTCAGCCCCCTCTTCGGGGCCTCCAGCTGGGCCCGGTCCTTCTTGGTGCTGAGGAAGGACACAGGCAAAGCTGTCACCCCGCGGCAGTGGATGCCAAGACCTACCTGCACCCTCGATTCTCACAGTGCAGGGGTCTCTTACACAGACCTCTCATTGAGGGGCCTTTGTGTCCTCAGCACATGCTTGAGCAGCGTGTGTGTGTGTGTGTGTGTGTGTATGTATGCAAGAAGCACCCATATGTGCCCAGAGACACATGCACACATGGGTACATGCTGGTAGTGTGGAAGCATGCAGTCGGGGCAGTCTCCTCCATGGCTGTTGGCCCCAAGGGTGCCCACACTCTGTGTTTTGTGGAGTGCTGGGCAGCAGGGGCAGGGGGAGCTACAGCGGCATCTGCCCCATAGGCTTGTGGGATGGCTCAGTTCCCAGCCCTTGTTCTCGGGCCTGCCCGCAGCCCCCGTCGGCGATCCGGAGGCACCAAATCCTTGGACTGTACTCTCCCGTTCAACCCAGAGCAGCCGTTCCTGCAACAGGCGAGCCCAGAGCTGTGCACGTCCCAATGGCCATAGAGCTAGGAGGACTACACAGCAGGGTTCTCCACACTGGGCGTTGGGCGGGGACGAGATGGGGGGCCTGCAGGTTCCCCTGCTCAGTCATCCTGGGAATCGACGGCTCTCGGCTACCTAGACACTAAGTGCTCTTGTCTGTGCTAGTCACAGAGGGGTCCACGTTCGAACAGTAGGACACCCCCCCCCCATTGACTGGAGTGCGAATGAAGTTCGAGGGAATGCCTAGGCCACGGGCTCGCAGCCTCCCAGTCCACCACCTGTCCCAGCACAACGCCCGCTGGATCGCCCGTCATTCCGGGACCTTAACCGCTGGAGGGCTACCAGCTGGAGTGCCCGGGACCACGTGGACAGCTGGCCTGAGGGGCAGGCTGCTGGAGGCCACGCCCACAAGTCCACCGCGCCCCGCCCTGCCTCCGCAAGGCCACGCCCACACCGTTGAGCAGCCCTTACTCCTCCTGGTCAGGCCCTTCCTCTCAAGGCCGCGCTGCCCCGCCTTTTGTGGTCAGGCCCCTCCCCCAAGGCCACGCCCACACCGTTCCGCCGCCAGGCCCCGCCCGCCGCCGCTGCTGCCGCCCGCCGCCCTACGCGCGCTGCCCACCACTTGCTCGGCCGCCGCCGCTCCGCCGTCCCGCTCCCCTCGGGGGCCTTGGGCGCGCCCCTCCGTTGGGGCGCCATCGGGCCAGGCTCTGGACGCAGGGACTGACCGCCGCGACAGGTGGCGCGAGGAGAGCGCGGTGTGGGGACGTGGGAGCGACGCACTCGGCCGTCGGCGCGGGGACTGGTGGCCAGACCCGAGCAATCGACGGCCGAGCGGCCGAGCGGCGGGGCGCGGCGCGGCGCGGCGGAGCGCCTCCCGGTGGCAAACCCGTGGATGCCTGCGCTGGTCTCGGGCCTGCAGGTGGGTCCGGAACCCTGCCGAGCCAAGCCTCTGATCTGTGCCCGCCCCGCTCCGCGGCCTCCTCCGCAGCGCGCGGCCCCACCGCAGCCCCGGACCGCCTCCTGGCTCCAGCCGCACCCAGTGGGCCGCGACTCAGCGGCCTCAGTGTCTGATTCTTCGTCAGCCTGACATTGGAAACAAGGACTGTTTGGAACACAAGCCCTGCCGTATGGTCGGGGTTCAGTTAGGCTGACTTCCTGACCTCCTGCTTTGTGCGCGCCCGTGACCTCAACTAGCGATCCCTTCCCTCCAGTAGACATGATCTTGACCTGCACTGCTCAAGATGAAGATTCTTGATCAGGGAGTTAACGCTGAAGTTGATTCAGGCTTCCAACTCGTGGCAACCACCAGCGACGACAATTCAGGATTAAGTCTGAAGCAGGTGAATGAATGATTGATAAAGAAAACTTAGATTCATTGGTCCAAAAAAGAGATCTACTCAACAGTGTTGTTACTGCAAAAGTAACTGTCCAATCGGCTGCCACTCAGACTCCTGGGTGCCCCTGGGAACTGGCTTGAACCAGCAGCAACTCCAGGACTGCCAGTTAGTCTGAGAAGACAGGAACAGGGACCAAAATCCTTGAAGTAACTTAATTTCTGGTTACCTCATGCAAGAGAGTCTAGAGGTAAGGAATTGTCACATCACAAAGTTGAGCACCGACTTTGTTTCTCGTCTTTTCAATTTCCAGGAACGTGTGTGGGTAAAACAGTTCTGAGTGTCTTTTGCAGGTGAGCTGTGTGTGTTCTCCTTTGACCTCAGAGGCAGGGAACCGATCCAGGACTTTCTCTCTGAATGTGAGAGGAGCAGTGGGGTGCACACCACACCTCTGCATATTTTCCAGCTCAAAACTGTTCCTTGTAAATCTGTCTCTTGGAAACGAGCTTTCGGTTGTAAGATTTAAAGCTGTGAAGTTGTGAAAGCACCCCTGTTTCTCGGTAGCTTTTCAGAACACCTTTCCACCCCTCACCTGTTAACGGAGGTGTTGGTTGCCTTGTGAATCATGTAGTTCAGATTGCTCGTATACAATTCCTTATTAAAAATCAGAATGTCAGCATGTTTCAGTGTTCAGCTGCTAACTGCAAGATCAGCGGTTCAAACCCACCAGCTGCTCTGTGGGAAAAACCTGACGTTCTGCTCTCATTTAGATTTCAGCCTAGAAGGAGGAAGACACAGAGATGTACACAAGAGGTGTAGACAACAAAGATAAACCCTTTTGCATACACAATCACAATTACATATCACTGCATTGTCAGTGATAACAAACATTGATCTACGGATAAATAGGTGGGTAGACAGGCTGAATGATCAGGTATGTCTAGGCAAAAGAGAACCTACCCATGACCATATATAAGGTTGGCAGACGATGTTTCTATGTGCTTATCTGTATGTGCTGTAAGAATGTCCAAATATGTAATAGAGCTAATGAGGGGCAAAATTATGATTACTTCTTGGCCACAGCCAACCACTCTGAGGGCGTGAGTAGTTGGACCTGTGGGCTTGGGACCATGGTCGCAGGAGACGTCAAGCTCACTTAGCATAACATACCGTACAAAAACATTGTTTTACATCCCACCTTGTGAGTAGTGACTGGGAGGTCTTAAAAGCTTGCAGGCGGCAATCTAGATGCAACAATGGGTCTCTCCCAACCAGAACAAAGAAGAATGAAGAAAACCAAAGACCCATGGAAACAGTTAGTCCAGGGGACTGGGGGACCAATGGACCATGTGATCCTCAGCCCATATGACCGTGAGGCCAGAAAAACTAGATAGTGCCCGGCTACCACTGTTAGCCACTTGGAAAGGGATCAGTGCAGGAGATCCTAGATAGAGTGGAAGAACAATGTAGAACAAAACTCAGAATCACTTAAAAAAAGACCAGGTTTGCTGGTCTGATAGAGCCAGGTAGGACTCCTGAGACTATGGCCCCCAGTTACCCTTCAGGTCTGGACCTGAACTCACTCCTGTGGCTTCCAGCCAAACAAAAGACAGGCATTTGGTCGATACACTCCTTAGGGCAATCAGTCAGTCATGGGAGAAGAGAAAGGCAGTGTTTGCACAGGGAGACAGCTGGAGTGGGGGCAGGAAGGCCTGGGAAGGAGGGACACAGAAGAGGTAACTACAGGGAGGAAGTGAGAAGAGAGCTGTTACACTGTGGGGACTGCAGTCATTGTGAAACAAAATGTGTCTGAACTGCTGGATGGAAAATGAATTTCCTCTGTAAACTTTCACCCAAATTAACTTAAAAAAAAAAGATTTAAGCCTGGAAAACCCTATGGGGCATTTCTGCTCTGTCTTAGAGGGTTGCCGAGTTGGCGTCGACAGCACACAACAACAGCACTGTAAGTCCCTGGGTGACACAGATAGCTGTGCTCGACCCCTAACCTGAAGGTTGGCAGTGTGAACCCCCCAATGGCACCAAAGGAAAAAGGCCTGGTAATGAGCTTCCCTAAAGATTACAGCCACGAAAACCCTGTGATGTAACACGTGTGTCAGGATGCGCGACACGGCGCTGGGTCTGGGTGTGCTGCTGTACTCTGTTACATGTCCTTAAGGCCATCTGCACTTCCTCACACAGAATGAGTAGTTTGAATTATTGAGCTGAATCGATGGCAGATTGACAGGGATTTTTTTCCTTTTCCGATCTAATGCTTTCTGCTTTTATAATAAACAGAAGAAAATAAGATTTTGCTGTTTCCCAGCTGCTCCATCATCATAAAGACATTCTCTTTGATTTAATGTAAACTTTTGTCAGCTTTGATATACTTGTGGTGTGTTCATTTTTTAAATTTTTATTGTCTGATTTTAAATCCTAGGCAGTTTTCTCTGACCTAAAAGCAAATTGTGCCTTTTTTTTTTTTTTTTCCTGCCTTATAGCCAAGTTGGCTTGAGTTCTAGAAATACAGATTAATTTTGATGCTACCCAAATGAAAATAAAATTGAGGGTCAATGTTCTGCAGAAAATTCCTGTTGGGGGCCTGATGCAAAGTGCTCAGGGCTGTGTCTAACAGTTTTCACTGGTGGAATACAGATTCTTTAAGAAGCTATTTGAAATAGGAAATTAGTTTGTGGCCATTTATGTTATTATAGATTATAGCCATCTTAGAAGGAAATTCTGCTGTTTATTTTAGGGGCAAATCATAACTAAATGGCAGAGGTTACTATGTTTGTATGTGGAAAGAGATTTCTCAGTTCATTATCATTTTAGGAAAACAAGTTTCCTCCTAGTTAATAAAATGAAACTGGCTAATATCAGAACTAAAACAGAAAGTGTAAGGGGAAGAGCAAAAAGGAGAAGCTGCTGCCCCTATTCATGACTTTCAGTTTCCCCTCTAGGAGGAAGCGCCCAGACAAGAGGTCTTTGGTATAGGAGTTTACAGAGAAGAGGGACATGTCAGGCCCTTCACTGTTCAGCATGCGGATAGTTCATTTGGACCTTAAAGGAGCACCACCAAAGATCTCGTACCTCTCGGAGGTAAGGAAGGATTCATTTCACCTCTAGAGAATCACTTCTTGCCTCGGGTTCAGACTGCAAAGTTGTGAGGATGTTTTGAAGAATCCCATACATAGAATACAGCCATGGAGATCTGGGTTGGGGCAAGGTGGTAGCAGGCACACAGATTTTTGATGTCCCTAAATCCCTTCACAAAAACAGCAACCAGGGTAGCAAAGGAAAAATAAAAATAAAAAAAAAAAAAAAACAGAAAGAAACCCACAACATTTTCAACAAAGCCAGGTGCCAGGGAGTCCCCATGAATGCAAGTGGGTGGTGCCACACTACACGCAGTTAAAGTGTGATTAACAGCTGGGCAACAGGTGGTGGAAGAGAGAGAAAGTGCAGAGATCACAAGACATAGAAGATAGCTAGGAAAACCAGCGCTTCCCAATGCCGGACCTTCCTTAGTGCCTATTCAGTTTTGTGCTTCTTGTACTTTAGTCTTCATTTCTGAAGTTTTTATCTTTTTATTTATAAAAAAATAGTTTGAAAAACTGGGGAAAGATTCACAGGCTGTAATGGAGGGTGAGTGCAGAAAGACCCAACAAAGGGTGCTGCGTAGGCCCGAGGCCTCAAAGCTCTTAAAAGTCCCTGATAGAAACTCCCTTTCAGAGGACAAGCCCCACAGTGAGCACAAAATTTTGGGAAGAGAATCCACATTAAGTTGGGCAAGAACACTAAGAATAAGGAGAGAGAAATGTGAGCTACTGCAGGAAAAGCTCTAGGGGGCCAATAGGAAAAACTGCTATAGACATAGAGTCTATGATTTCTGATATTTCCTGGTAACAATAGAGAATGGAGTCCTAGGACTGCCCCATCTCTATCCCAAATATAAGAGCATGTTCTTAGAAAGAAAAGAAAATGCATCTCATTTTAAAATGGCAACAGAAAAGGATTGTAGTTAAACTCCATGCAAAGAGATTATAAGAAAAAAAAAGGATAATGATATAAGTAGCATTGTCACAGGAAGGTGCACCAGGAACATGGGACTACAGGGCAGATGAAATGGTACTATATTTCAAAACAAGATAAGAAACATTAGGAAAAATAGCTGTGAAAAACAGCACAAAAAGGAAGTAAAAAAATCTCAGAAATGTGATAACAGCAGGAGGGTATGAAAATAGTGCTGATGGAACTCAGAAACAAAATTTTTTTTTTTATAAATAAAAAGATAAAAATTTCAGAAATGAAGACTAAAGTATAAGAAGTACAAAACTGAAGAAGGTCCAATATTGGGAAGCAAATAACTAAAAGGAGGGGGAAAAAAATGAAGACATGGAAAAAAAAGAAAAAAGCATTGTGACAAATTGATAGCTTTTGAAGACTGGCAAAGAAAGCCCAGCTTAAGTATAACTGGAGTCCTTATTTTAGTTCTCTGTTGCTGTATGGCAGACCATCCCAAACTTAAGAGTGTTAAGATACTTCTTCCTGTTTCTGTGGCTGCTCTGACCTGGCTCCCTCACGTGGTTGGAGGCTCTGTGGCCAGAAATGCCTGATGGTCCAAGATGGCCTTACTGCGTGTCTGGCAGCCAGCTTCCTTTCAGCATGGTGGCCCCAGGGTAGTGTTGCAAGAGAGGAAGGGCACAAGCTGCAGAACATGTTTAGGTCTGAAGAACTAGGGCCTCTCAACTCATGCTGGGTCACTCTACCACTTCCTACCGATAAAGCAAGTCCCAAGGTCAGCCCAGATCAAAGGGTCGGGGATTGACTCTCCCTCTTGGTGGTCAAAGCTGCACAGTTTCATGGGGGCAGTGGTCCTTAAAGAAGAGAGCCAGAGCAAGCATGACAGAGCTGTGTGAAAAAAACCTGAGAAAGACTTCTCTGAAATAAGAGAATATTTGAATCTGAATATTGAAAGGACATGTCATAAACCTGGGAGATTTTATCTAGAATAATATGCATCATCACATTCTCTGCTAAACATATCAGACTTAGACAATGAAAAATGAAAAACAAAAAGTCTGTTAGGCGTCCAGGAGAAAGCCTAAGTCATTTACAAGGGAAAGAAAGGTTGTCATCGACATTTTGACAGCAATATTGCATGACAGATGATAAGAGAGTAAATTATTTAAAATAGTGAAAAATAAAAGGGAATCCAGAAGTTGATATCCAATCACGTTGGCCTTAAGTATAAAACCCACAGGCCAGCTATTATAACCTCCAAGAACTGAGAACTCACTAAAGAACAAGCTTCAGATAACCAGAGAAGACTGAAGAAGCTCTCCAAAATGTCCACACCCACATTTATGGAGACAGAAAGACGGGAGACAGACCAGAGGATTGACTGGTGGGGTGGTGTCCCTGGCAGGTCTCATCTTTATACTGTTCGGTGTCCTTCCTGCAACACTGTGCAATAAGAGCTGAGCAGGAAGATGTCTCCACTGTGCACACACTCACTGCACCACTGCATTCACGTGGCCCCTGCTTCCTAACATCCTCTGGTCTTCTCCCCAGATTTTTCCTCTGTTCCGCGCCCTGGGTGCCAACGCCCTTCTCGTTGAGTATGAAGACATGTTTCCCTACGAGGGCCACCTCAAGCTGCTCAGGGCCCAGCATGCATACAGGTATCTCCATGATAAACACCTTCAGAGAAGGCAGTGGGCTTCAGGGTATGGGCGGGGCGGCAACCTGGAGCCCTGTGTAAGACAGCCAGAAGTCAGCAATGCCGGGAACATTGCTTTTCTGTCTTTTCAAATACATTTCTTTTTTCATAAAAATAAAACATGTTCAGTGATAGAAATTTGGAAACATTTAGAAAAGAAAAATCAGCATCCGTGATGACCATACCACAGGAACAGCTGGGACTCCCATTGAGGGGTCTCCCAGTCTTTCCCTGTGGATGGGACCTTCACTGAGCATGCTCTGGGAGTGATGATGGGGGCAGGGGTGCTGCCCTTTTGGCCACAGTCAGGCTCTTCAGCAGGGAAAGTGACAGAGGGGGAGAGGATCAGCATCAGCAGGATCAGAAGTACTGTGACAGCAGTGCTGTAACTTTTTGGGTCTCCACGTAAATCAGTAACCAATAGCTCAGAAGGAAAATGGGCCAAGAAGCTTACCTGGCAGCCCCTCAGAGAAGAAGTGGGAATGGCCAGTAAGCATGAGAGGGGGTTCAACCCATCAGTTATCACAGAGGCTGGAACAACAGTGAGATGCCATTGTTGGTACCTACTTGGTGAAGGATTGAGAGAAGACACAAACCTGCTTGTGGTGGGACTGTGCAGTGGTGGAGCTGTTCCGGGGACAGAGTGGCTCTGCACTGCAGCTCTTCGGAGTGCACCCAGCCACGTACGTGCAGGTGGGAGAGGAGACGGTGCAGAGCGGTCTCAGCCGCTGTGCCGCGATGAGCGGGGGCCTCACTTTCTTTACACTGCTCCATTTCTCTGTCATGAACGTGTGTTTCTTTAAAGTGAAGAAGGTACTCGGGTCCCTTTGAAACTTGATATATTCAAGGTGAAGATAGAATTCATACTTGTTGTTGTTATCATGTGCCGTCAAGTCGGACCTGACTCATAGCGACCCCTCCTTGGGTTTCTGAGGCAGTATCACTACGGAAGTAGATTGCCCCATCTTCCTTCCGAGGAGTGGCTGGTGGGTTTGAACCACCAGCCTTCTGGTTAGCAGTCAAGTGCCTTAGGCACTATGCTACCAGAGCTCCCAGAATTCATACAATGAATAAGAAATTACTAGAACTACTTAGCTCACAAGATGCTTCCAACACAGAAACTAGCAATCATGTTTTAAGTTGTGATGAATTCATAAATAACTCGAGAGACCTTGTGAAAAATCAGGCAGTGGGCGGGGCAGTGGGCCCTCCCAGGATGGAGCCGGGGCCACGTGAACAAGCAGTTTGGCCTGGAGGGGGCAGGGGCATGTCCATGGCATCTTCCCACAGTGTCCCTGAGGCTGGTGGTGGTGGTGGTGTTATGTGCCATTGAGTCGTCTCTGACTCATGGCGATCCCTCCATGGGTTTCCAAGGCGGTATCTCTACGGAAGTAGATTGCCCAACCTTCCTTCCAAGGAGTGGGTGGTAGGTTTGAACCACCAGCCTTCTGGTTAGCAGTCAGGTGCCTTAGGCACTATGCCACCAGAGCTCCTCCCTGAGGGTGGAGGAGGGGGGATTTCCACAACCCCTTGCAGATGGGGATGCACCTCTCCCAAGGGTTACATCACTCAGTAGAATCTTCAAAGTAGCACACAGGTCTGCAGTTTCAGCCCTACTCTCCACTCTCTCCCAGAAAAGGGTCAGCAGACTTCCTGTGAAGCGCCAAGTAGTAAATACTACAGGCTGCATGGACCGTTCAGCCTCTGTTGCAACCATTCTGTCTGCCCTTGTGGCACTAAGGCAGATTCGTAAATTACAGGGCAGGCCTGAAGCCAATAAAACTTGATTTGTAGACACTGCAGTTAGAATTTCATAGCCTTTTTTTCTAACCATGTTAAAATGTGAAAACCACTGTGGTGAGTGAATAGCAATCAACTGGGCTGGATTTGTACCTGGGCCGGGTGTGCCACCCTGCTCTAGAATCTGATGCCTTGTCTAGCCCAGTTTCTATGAAATACAGATGACTAGTATAGTTTGGGTTAGAATAGTCAGTCAAAAACCAAGTTGCCAGAGGACAAGGCAGAGAACTGCTTTTCCAAATTCTAGCATGGTTGCCCTTCCTGGGACCTTTAGTGTCCGCTTGACCTCTGTGGAAGTAGCTTCACGGCCCCTGGGAAGGCCCTTGGGAAGGAGTATGTTGGCCTGGGGAAGTGTGAACAGAGCTGTGCTGGGGACATTGGTGGGAATTCCTTTGGGTAACTTTTGTCTCTCCAAACCAAAAACACATACCTGGCTGATGTCAAGCTGATTCCAACTCACAGCGCCCCTAGAGGACAGAGTGGAACTGCCCCACTGGGTTTCCTAGGCTGTCAGTCTTCATGGAAGCAGATTGCATCATCTTTCTCACGTGGAGCAGCTGGTGGCTTCTAACTGCCGACCCTTTGGTTAGCAGCCAAGTGCTTAACCGCTGCACCACCAGGGCTCCTTTGTGTCTCTCAGCCCCTCAGAGATCAGAGAGATCCTGTACCTGGCTAGACAGAATGAGCTGGAGGTGATCCCCTTGGTGCAGACGTTTGGGCACATGGAGGTAAGTGGGGGAGGGATGTTCCTGTACTCAGTCTGGCCAGCTCAGGGCTACAGGGTAGGGCTGACAGGGTCTGATGGGGCCCAGGCATCCCCAGGGCTGGGCTGGCAGGGAGCAGCTTGGAACAGCACGGAGCTGCAGGTCAGAGAGCAGAGGGACAGGCAGGTCAGAGAGCAGAGGGACAGGCAGGGAGGGGACAGTGGGGTTCCGCTGGCCTGTGAGGGGCAGGGATGGGCTGGGGCCGGGGTATTTTCTTTTTAATTGTTCACAACATATCGTGTGACATAAAATGCAGTATCAAGAAAAGGCATTTTCCATCTTCTGTATTTCCCTGTCTGATCTTCGGCTGCGGCCTGTGTACCTTGACGTAGTTCCCTTTCTCACCACAACTCTGTGTCTTCTCATTTCTTATTGACACTATGTTTCCAGACTCCATTCTTTTAGCATCTGTGGGGTTGGTCTGACACTGTCAGGGATGGTGCCTGGGATGTCCATTGTGTGGGACTGTTTGTTTTTGTTCTCTAGGCATCTCTTATTGTCTTGTTTAGTGAGCATATAGTCAAATGGGCTGTTTTGTCGTCTGGTTCTGTGCATTTTTACACACGTGATTGGCGTGACAACCACCACAGCCAGGGCACTGAGGAGCTCCTCACTCTGCCCTTGGCAGCCACGTCTGCAGCCGCACTTGTGTTTGCTGCCACAATGGTCTCCTTGTGGATGTCACGTGAGTGGTGTTGTGCCCAGTGTAACCATGCCAGCATTCGTGGAGGACCACCACTGTTTGCCTTGGCACCTGTGTCAGCCACCTTGTGGTGCTGGACTGTTGGTTAGTGAGTTGCCTGAATTTGATCTGTGTCATCTGTCTCCTCTTCAGTCTGTGGCCACTCACGTCTCTGCTCTTCATTCTTAGTTTTGTCTGGTAGCCCAGCTTCCTAAGGGTCAGCCTTCTGTCTTCATAGTTAGTGGTCAGCCAAGACTGGCCAAGGTTGTGCTCAGCACCTCATGCCTGACAGGCCTCCAGCCTCTGCCCCTGGCCTGTGTGGGTCAGGGCACTCGGAGTCAGTCAGGTTGGAGGCTCTGCTGGCCTTCTCAGGCCTCCCCACATGTGCGTGTCCTCTGTCAGCCATGGGTGTGAGGGAGGAGTGTGAGTAGCGCTCTGGAGCACTCTCACTTGCAGGCCCCCCAGCAGATTTCTGTGGGGTTACCACTCACCCCAGTGGGGCTGTGCCATTGCGCTGGCAGAATGTGTCCAGTTTTTAAGTTGTTTTGGGGAAAAGACACCACTGTAGCCCAGTCTGCCCAGCCTGTAATTCTGAGTATGACAGAACCTGTGTTCCCACAGCCTTGTCACTTGGCCCAGTTAGGATGTGTAAAATGGTGGCAGTACTGACAGGAGCCTTGTCTGAACCTGTCTAACTTCAGGTGGGACAGTGCAACTCAAGATCAGCCTTGATCAAGGGGGGGATCAGACAGACCTCCACCTGCAACCGTTTCACCATTTCTGACACCAGCCATCCCTCCCCTGGCACTTTCTCCCTCTCTTCAGGGTTCAATAATACATTGCAACAGTCACACAACCCAACAGACAGTACTTCCAGTTAAGTGACTCATTAACGAACAAGATACAACTTGGGATCAGGCCCAAGAAGCATGTAGGCAGGCTCCCCCTTCCGTGCAGGATGGCGCCCTCAGCTGCTCTTGGCTGCGCAGTCCTCCCCTCAGCCCCGAGACAGGTCTCTTCTCACCCCTGCTGTCTGTCAGCACTGGCTCTGCCACTGGGCCCCTTCTGGGCATGTCATTGTTTTCACTGTTACAGCTCTTCTAGGATGTCTCTCTCTCCCAGCTCTTCTAGGACGTCCCCTGCTTTGTCTCTCTCTCCCAGCTCTTTCCCTCTTCTCTCATCTTTCTCCCTTTTGGTGCTTCTTGTTACATCCCTTCCTGCTTCTTTCTGTCTGAAAAACTCCTATGGGGCTGACTGCTTATATACACAAATTCCTTGTCAATTTCAAGGCACGATGCTCCTTCCCAGCTGAGCCATTAACTGACCCTGTTGGTAGGCCACAGATACTTCATTTGCATAGTAGGCCATAGTCACTTCGTTGGCATAATCTATCAGCCAGTCCCTGCAAGATGCATACCAATCACAGAGCAGGCTGCAGCCCAGGACCAGACAAAAAGTGTCAAACCAAGTTGTTTGCAGCTTACCCAGCAAATGTCAGTCAACCTGTACTAAAGTAACAGACCCTCTAGTGTAGAAAACTAGGGCTTACGGGAAGGTCTCTCAAGCTGTTTATCTGAAGAACTACAGCAAAAGGCCACAGAAAGGAATTCATTCACGACAGGATTGGAAGGTGAAGGAGGGTCACTGACAGGCCAATGACATTACTCAGAACCCTGCTAGGAGCAAGTTCTGGAGGGTACTGATGGACTTGGTGCCTCAGTGCTCAGCTGGGCTGCAGCTGGGAGGAACGAACAACACAGGTTGTATAGGCCAGGAGCAGAGTGGATCAAAGACTCACCCTGCCTCATGTGGAGGCAGAGCCAGGAGCTGAGACGGGCTTCTCGGCCTTGACCTTGTTAAGGGCTTGTCATCTGGGGATGGAGGAATGGGCGAAGGCGTCTGGCCCTCTCCGTCTCCCTCCTCTGACTGCTCTCTCCACAGTTCGTGCTAAAGCATGATGCATTCTCTCATCTCCGGGAAGTGGCACTCTTCCCCAACACCCTGAACCCCCACAAGGCAGAATCGCTGGCGCTGGTCACAGCCATGGTCGACCAGGTCATGGAGCTGCATGGCGGAACCCGGTGGCTGCACATTGGCTGTGATGAGGTGGGTCCCTCTCCCCTCATCCTGCACTTCCTCCTCTCGGCTCACAGGGGGTGCTCTCCCCACCCTCTGCAACATTGTCTACCTCAGTGGGCCTTTTCCCGGGCCAAGCCGCCCAGCTACCAGAGATAAAGACAGGTTTGCCTTTGCCAAGGAGATGGCCCCATTTAGGGAGCCCAGGCATCAATATTCGTTCTAATTGCTGTCTCCGGGGTGGAGGGGGCCGGGCAGGTTCTGGGAAAAGCAGGCCCCAGAGGCCCCTCTTGGGATGGGCTGTCCCGGGCCCCTTGGCACAGCCAGTCCTCAGTGATGGCACATTCAGGCATGTGGGACCTGCCAGTGGATGTGGGTTTGAGTCCGTTGCATCCTTCCAGCTGAACAAGGTACAGTGGGGGTGGTGGCAGGGTGGAGATGGTACTTTACCCTTGAAGCCCTGGCTGGGAAAAGTGGTTTCAGGGGCACCCAAGATGCATCCCCACCCCAGGGGGCAGCCCACCTCTGACTCCTCTGCATCACCAGCTCAACTCCTATTACAGACAGGTCTGGGGAAGGTCACACCAGCCGAGACCAGGGCTGGGGAGTGGTGACAGGGCCTGTGCAGGGACAGTGCTGACACGTTAGCCCCAGACAGACCTTCTCTTCCAAGGAAATCTGTTTTGTATATGGTGAAATACACGTGACGTACAGTGAGCCATCGTAACTGTTTTAAAGTACACCACTCAGTGGCAGTTAGAATGGTCCTGGTGTTTGCATCCATAGCCTCTGTCTGGTTCCAGAGCCCTCTCGTCACCCCAACAAAAACCGCTCTGTCAGCCGTCACTGGTGCCACCCACCCACTGCCTGGAGTTCCTGTCTGCTTGCTGCCCACATGTTTGCCTGTTGTCTCTTGTGTAGGGTTCATTCCGTATGTGGCCTTCACATCAGGCTCATCCACGTGGCTTCTCTTGGCAGAATGACAGACAGTCCATTGTGTGGATACACCACATTCTGTCTGTCCTGTCACCTGTTGGTGGACAGTTGAGCCGTTGCCATGTTTTGCCTGTGAACATCCACGGGCAGTCCCGAGGGGAAGCTGAGGTCCACGCCCCACGGCAGGCCACTGGTGGAGTGAGCTTCCGAGGCCCGACCGCCACCGCTGGGGGGGGGTCTCTCAGTTGCTGTTCCTCCCTCCAGGTCTACTACCTTGGGGAGGGGGAGGCCTCAAGACAGTGGCTGCAGCAGGAGCAGAACAGCAAAGCCAAACTCTGCCTGTCCCACATGACGGCCGTGGCCGGCCACGTGCTCGCCCACCAGCCCACCACGACACCCCTGGTGTGGGACGACATGCTACGAGACATGCCTGAGGACCTTCTCCAAGGTTGGACCCAAAGCGGGCCGAGCCAGGGCAGGGGAGGGCGAACGGAGCCGAGCTCAGCTGCTAGACCTCATGCTTCCAGGGAGAACAAGTAAACTTTCCGGAAGCTCTCAGCTCTAGGCATCCCTGGCAGACCCTGCTGCTTTCCAGACGTCCCTGTACAGGCATTACCGGGTTTAAGACCATGCCCACAAAAGCTGTTTCTAGTGTCTAGTGCCAGCACAGGTGAGCCCTGAGAACAGGCAGGAGGGCTTGGGGAGAAGGGCTGAGGGCACAGGGTGTCCGGTGCTTGCTCTGGCTGACACAGCCTCAGGCAGATGAACCAGGTGGCGGGGCAAGCAGCCCATCTCCATCCCCGGGCCTGCACTCAGCTGGGCACCCCCGCCAGGACCCACGTTGGTGCTCCAACACCTGCCCCAGTGAACACAGTCCATGTGAGGGGCACTGTTTCAGGCCTGGCACCCAAAGTCCTCCAGCAGCCCACCTGGGCACTGCCCACCCACCAGGCGAGACCCTAAAGTGCTGCTGTCCTAGCTGTCCACCGGCAGTTGTTCAGAGCTAATTAAAATGAAACCAGCGACTTGCTCGTGCAGCCTCTGCAGTGGGCACCAAGACACAGCATGTCTTCACCCTCGTGGACCTGTCCCCTAGACAGTGCCATCTGGGTCGGACCTCCAGGCTGTGGAAGAACCCTGGGGGTGCAGTAGACAAGCACTTGACTGGCTTCCTCGGCAGTTCAAACCCACCAGCCACTCAGTGGGAGAAAGGCGCGGTTCTGTTCTGCCTTGTAGTGTTACTAATGAGTTGGAATCCAGCAGCAGTGGGTTTTTTTTTTTTTTTTTTTCTCATTCGAATCCCTTTTTTTTTCCCTTACTTCTGTTTGCCTTATCTCAGTGGGTTTTTTTTTTTTTTTTTTAAGTTGAGGGGAGTCGTTTCAAAAGCAGGCCTCAGTTTGTGCAAGCGGGTTATCGCCCAGAGCAGCACAGTGTTGTCAGGAAGTGGGATCCATGTGGACGGTATAGTCTCCTGGGCCCTGGGACAACATGGCCTCCGTGTTCCTACAGAGTCGGGTTTACCACAGCTGGTGGAGCCAGTGCTCTGGGACTACGGGGCTGACCTAGACATCCACGGCAAGGGTCAGTACAGCAACCACATGGCGGCTGCACTGCTGGTGCTGGCCGGGGTACCGCAAGGGCTTGGCTGATCTGGACACAATGTGGATGGTCATCAAAGGACGTGGTGCAGTCTGCTCCCTGCTTTGCCCCTGCACCCTGGCCTCCCTGAGGACGGACCCCTTGGCCAGATCTTGCTGCCCAGTTGTCCCCCAGGCCTTCCCTCCTCACATTCTCAGGAGGATGTAAATGGGATGGTTTTCACACTGCAAGAACTCCCTCTAAAGGAGGCCCCACCCCTTGGAGCTAGACCCTGTGGCTGTCCACCTGTGTATGGATGGATGTGTTAGCAGGGGCTCCCAGACTGTTACACCTCGTTTTCTCCCCTCAGTCGTCCTTATGGAAAAGTTCCAGAAGTGTGGTTTTCCCCGGCTGTGGGCTGCAAGTGCATTCAAGGGCGCCACCGGGCCACACCAAGCGCTGACCCCCATTGAGCACCACCTCCGGAACCACCTGCAGTGGCTGTGGGTGGCGCAGGCTGGACCAGCCGGACTGCTGCAAGGCATTGTGCTGACTGGCTGGCAGAGGTTGGAGCCTCACCCCATAGGACATGCAGAGGGGATTCTGGGTTTGGAGGGCAGAGAGGTCCTCCTGAGACCTGGAACAGGGTGGGGGTCCCTGTGTCAGGCTGAGCCCTCTTTGGGCCGCAGGTATGACCACTTTGCGGTGCTGTGCGAGCTGCTGCCTGTTGGGATCCCGTCGCTGGCCATCTGTCTGCAGTCATTGCTACGTGGTACGGCCCCTACAATACGAGATGTGAGCAGACACGAGCCAACGGCCCCTCACTCGTCTGGGCTGTGGTCCTCTCCTTGGGGAGCTGGAGCAAAACATGCCCCTAGGAGCACGTGGGCGGCTCAGCCCTGTCCACCTGGGTGCCAGTCCCACCACAAAGGGCCCAGGTTATCCGGGCCATGGGGCTGTGGCGAAGCCCTTCCATAAGGTCTGTTGGCTGCAGGAGGCTTCAGCCAAGAGGTGAAGGACAGGGTGGAGAGCTGCCTCGGGGTCGCAAGCCTGGACACAACCGACTTTACCAGGTACTCCCCTCACTCCACAAACCGCAACCCCTCCCTCGGACCACCGTTCTCACCCCCTCTCTCGCAGGGAGGGCACCGGCTGCTTCCCTGGCAGCGACATCCTCGCCCTTGTCACACAAGTCAGCCTCCACCTGCGAAGCTCCGTGGAGGCCCTGCTGGATGGGAACAGGTGAGCCACCGCCATCCCCACCACCTGCTCAGGTGGAGCAGCACCTCCACATTGCTTCCCCGGTGCCTTCTGGGTCACCTAGGTGGGTACCAGGCCCAGTGGGCATGTGTGTGGTTTGCCCAGGTACGTGACAGGCTGGTTCAGCCCCTACCACCGCAGGCGGAAGGTCGTCCACCCCGTCATGGTGCAACACATGCAGCCCGACGTGCTCAGGTAACGGCTTCTGTGGGCGCAGCCCCACTGCCCTCAGGAAGCGTGGTTCCCGCAGGCAGCACCCCTCATGGGGAGTGGCTCCTGAGGGTACCGACCTCATAGGGCGTGGCTCCCTCAGACTGGCCTCGCAGGGCATGGTTCCTTCAGGCACCGCCCTGCCCTCCCACTGGCACTGCAGTGAACTAGAACAGGTGTCGGCCGGTCAGCTGGATCCCCCAGGTGAACGGACACCCTCCACACCGAGTGGGGGTGCCGTAGCTTAGGTGCCCTTCTGGCGTTAAGAGTCAGAGGATGAGGCTGCCTGGCGGCCAGACACTTCCACCGCGCAGCATGGGCAGGGGCAGCCGAGACTGGGCTGAGACTCCCAGTGTTCCTGCCAGCGCTGCGCGAGGTGTCAGGCAGCTGCAGAGGCCGCGAGCTCACGGCTGCGTGTCGTCGCAGCCTCCTGGCCCGGTGGGGAGCCCTCGTGCCTGAGCTGGAGGCCGCCCTGCAGCGCGTCTTCTACCCCGACGCCGTGGAGGAGTGGCTGGAGGAGAACGTGCGCCCCAGCCTACAGAGGCTGCAGGACCTGGCCCAGGACCTCGCCGAGGCCACCGCCAGCCCCACGGCCTAGCAGAGCCTTTGAGCACCCGAGGGGCCCTCCACTCTTGTGGCCTGATCTGGGGGCACAGAGGCACGTGGCTGAAGCCGACCCCGCACCCAGCAGCGTATCGGGCCGTGCGCCTGTGGAGCCGCTGGGCGGCTCGGCCAGGCCCATCCAGAGCCATACGCCGTGGCTCTTTTGGAATTCTTGGAATAAAAAAGGTGGAAGGTAGAAATCACGTGAATGCATGTTTGAGAACTGTCTTATGACCCCCCGGTTTTACGCTTGGCTTTCAGTCCAGGCCTTCAGATGGCTCCCCTATGGCAGCGAGAAACCCTTTCCCATCAGGAGCCCAGAAATGTGCATCCTCTCCTGTGGCAAGGGGACACGGGGGAGCACCTCCCTCCCCTATTGTGGGGTGTCTTCCAGCCGCAGGATGACGCACCAGACTGGTCACAGAATTTTACGCTTTTTAGAAGAAAATTTCAAAGCCACCCATTCCAAAGAACTGAGGTGGCACTGCACCTCGGTCAGGGCCTTGTGGCACCAACACCAGGAGCAGGAGGCCCCAGCTCTGAGCCAGGGCAGACATGTCACCCAGTAATAAAGGGGGGCATCTGGGGGACCCCTGGGCTCAAGGAGAGGACTCTCAGCCCCAGAACCCATGCCCCATGGAGAGGCAGCTGAGCAGAAGCTTGGCCCAACCCCCAGACCCCTCTGCTGTTTAAGACAACCTGGAAATCTGCGTTTTCACGTCTCAGCTCCTGGTTTCCAGTCCCCTTAAATTTCAAACGCAGACCACTCTCCTCACCAAGCAGCTCAGGGTGGCGTGGAAGGCTGTGCCATGACTCACGGGCCCGCCACAGTCCTGCAGTGCTGTGGCTCAGGGTGCCGATGGCACCAGCTGGGGGCTCTGCTGCCCTGCCCCGACGGCATCGGCCCCAGCAGCAGCAGGTCCGTCTCGGCAGGCGCCTCACAGGGAGGCCAGGGTCCAGCCCAAAAGGGTGTGCTGTGTGGTAGGGCAGGCTGCACTGCAGTGTCCACGTCCACCGGAGATCTGGCTCAGCCAGCGCCGCACCCCATCCAGATGCCTGCCTGGCTGCTCACCGGCTGCAGAGCTCCAGCCCCTGACCCGGGGCTGCTCAGGGCAGCTGGGCAGTCACTCAAGGCCCTGCCGCCGACCACCCCGCTTCAAGGTTGTGAGACTTTGATTTCATCAGGAGAGCTGAGCCCAGGCCTCTCGACAGCCTGGTGGGCAGCCCCACCCCACATCCCTGTGCAGATGTCCCACCCGCGGGAGTCCGGAGACAAGGTCCCTGTGAGCAACAGGACAAAAGCCAGCAGCAAACAGCTGGAGCGGAGAAGCCGGCGTGCAGGGCGGGGTACACCAGGACCACCCCATGCGGCCGCCGGGGACGCCACCGCACGGGACAGGCCCGGGCCATCAGCTTCGGCCCCTCATGTCGGCGTCACTGTCACTGCTCTGAGACGGGTCCCCGGGACTCTCCGGGTGGTGCAGCTCCAGAAACCTGGTGATGAGCCTGGCAACGGCCTCCACGTCACTGGGTGGGGCCGACACAGAAGCAACGCGTTACCTTAGGCCAGGAGGTGGCCTTTCACCTCCTGTCCCATGTGGCTGCCTTGAATTGGGGGTGGGGTAGGGGGTACCCCACCGAGCCTCCAGTTGCTGTTGCACACATGCAACCACCAAGCCTCCCGTTCCACTGAGACGTGTGACCTCGACATGCTAGCCCATGACCCCAGGATGCCTGCTTCCCAGGCACCTTGCACACCTCCCAGCCCCACCCCCTCCCTCACCACACCCCAGACCCTCTCCCCTCCCCTCCCCCAGCGTGGATGCAAGGCCTGGGGAGTCGAGAGTCGCACCACCTCTGCCCAGCTCCAGCCTCCCCGACGCCTGCCTCCCCGCCCGCACTCTCTGCCTGACGTCTCCCAGCCCACTTACCTCCGCTGGCCCATGGCCGCACTCTGGGTGAGGGGGTGTGAGAAGCCCGTGGCAAACCGCAGCACTACCACGTAGCCCTTCCCAAAGTAGCGGACCTTCTCCTCCTCCACGTTCACGTCTCGGATGTCACTCAGCAGGACCACCACTGTGGGGCACAGGTCAGCACTGACCCCACACCTGCCCACTCTGTGCCAACGTGCAATGGAGCCCACTCCCCTCGGGGCAAAAGCCTGGCACCATGACCTTAGACATCACGGGTCACTCAGAACTTCAAGGGAAGCCGACTTCAGGCCACCCTGTCGGTGAGGGCCCAGCGCATGCTGCAGCCAACAGATGAGTCTCTGCACCCCGGCTGCTACCACAGCCAAGATCCCCACGGGTTGGCCGGTCGCCACAGACACTCGTTCGCTCTGAGTGTTCAGCCTAACGGGCAGGGTCACACACCAGCCCTTTGCTTCCCTCTCATCCCCAGTTCCTGAGAAGTGCTTTCCTGATCTGAAGCGAGGGGTGACCCACAAGAGTCAGCAGCAGTGGCAGGGAGACCCCTGTTCAGGTACCTGGGGCTGCCCCACAACCCTGCGGTCCTGTGCGGCCATCACGAACCCCACAGAGCCACGCACAGCCTGTGGCCACGTTCCAGGTGACCTCAAGGCCGGTCCCCTACAGGCCAGGTCTCGAGGGGTCAGCTCCACAGCTCACCGGTGGGAGGGGCCGTGCCCAGCCTCACTAGATCCCCATGACTCTAAAGCGCCCGCTGGCCCTTCTCTGAGTACTGCTCACTGAGCTCGAGCCCTGAACTAGAGAACTGCAGGTGTAGTCCCCAGGGGCCTTGTCTACTGGATCCCCCGCTGCCGTGTGGCTGGGTCAGCAACTCTCCAGCTGCAGCCAAAGGCCAAGGGCCCGTCCAGCCCTTGCCACAGGCACCGGAGCAGGTCTGAGGGGAGCAAACGCACCGCCACAAGAGCACCACAAGCCGGTGCGCGCGCACGGGCACGTCTCCAGGCGCCCCGCGGCCCGGTGCCCAGGCCTCACCTTGTTCGTGACCTGCCCTGCACAGAGTCAGCAGCTTCCTGTGCAGGCTCAGCGTCTTCAGGACAGCCTTCCCGGTGCTCTTGTCAAAGACGGCTTCCTGGAAAACCCACCGAAGAGCACCAGCCCAGCTGCGGGCTCTCTGCATGCTGACCACCAGCCGGCTGCCTCCTTGTAGGAGGCCCGAGTCCCCCAACTGCACTGACTGCCCCTCCATGGACCCTGCGTGGTCTCCCCTACAGACAGACGTCCACCCCACCAGCAGCTACGGCCCACGGAGGTGGAGGTGGAGCCGCGGTCCAGTGCAACCCAGCAGCTGACGGTGAACACTTAGGGGGTGTGGTCCCCACCAGAGCCCTGGACCCCTGAAGCCCCAGGGCTGCTTCAAAAGAGCCACATGTCCGGGAACCCGGGCCCTCTTGTTGGTGCCGGGGGAGGGGCAGCCAAGGCTGCCACAGGCTCCTCTTTCCATCCAGAGAAGGATGAGCACACCCGTGAAGGTCAGAAACAAGGACACGGAGATCCAACACCAAAGCAGCACTGGGGGCCGGGCGGCTTCAGGGACTCGTGAAGGTCAAGGGGTGAGGGCACCAAGGACGGCACCCGCCCCCTTCTGTGCCACATGAAGGTGGCACCCAGCGGTAGAGACAATCACAGGAAACAGCTTGGAAGGGTCCTCGGCATGCGATGGTCACAGCCCTAAGGTGCTGCCAGAAGGCCCCCAACACGGAAGAGGCACAACCAGCCACACGCAAGGCCAGTGAGACCAAGCAGACACAAGACTGGAACAAGGGCTTGCAGGTGTTATACCTGTGGGGAGCTCAGATTCCCTGCAGCAGGGTCCGGCCAGGTCCAGAGATGCCTCCTTTCCCCACGTCCCTTGTTGCCCCTGCCCACCCTGGCCCTTACCTCCCAGTCCTCCAGGTTCTGCACCGCCACGAACAGGCAGCCCGTGACGTAGAAGAGCTTCCAGCCTGGCCCATCTGCAGAGCAGACACACGGCGGGTCAGGGAGGGACCGCACTGGGCGGCCAAGGCCAGGAGCCTGGCCCAGACACGGAGGCCTCATTTCCTGGGCAGTGGGGGTGGGACAGCATCTGGTGGGCCCAGGGCCCCCCACCCCATGCTTCTTGGCCCTGTCCCCAGCACCATCAGCAAGGTGGACAACGGCAGGAGGATGGGCAAGCTCTGGGGCCCCTACAGGCCCTTGGGCAGAGAGGGAGAACAGCAGGGCATCTCACACTACGGGGGATGTACGCTGTGCTGGGGGAGGCAGCTGCGAGTTAGCCGAGTCAGGAAGAGGGCGGCAGAGGAAAGGGTTCCCTCCTCTCCCATCCCGGGCCCTGTGGGCGAGGAGTTACCTCCACTGTAGTAGGCAGCAGCCAGGCCAATCGACAGTATTCCTGCAAAAACAACAGCCAGTCCTCATGCCCTGGAGCGTGGCCTCAGCGACCAGGCCCTTCCTATGGCCAGGGATGGCTGGGGGACGGCACAGAGGGGCAAGCAGCAGGGGCTGAGGAGAGAAGCCAAAACCTCTGTCCATGGACGTGGGGTCCACCACACAAAGCTGTCACCGACCCTCATCTACGCAGGCTCGGTCACAGGAACCACAGAAAGGAGACTGCTGCCGCTCACCCTGAGAGCATGTGGTGTGGGACAAGGACAAGACTGTCCCTAAGGAGTCACAGCTTACCACGCAGGGGAATACGCACAGGAACACACACAGAGCACAGCTAACCTCTCCCATGCCTCCTCCCACCCAGCCAACAGGGTCCTCCTGGGGGACGGGTGGGGCCAGGAGCCTCAAGGACCTCCAGAAGGGACTGAGAGTGAGAGCCACACTCCCCCAGCTCATCACTCAGGCCGGGAACAAGCACGAGTCCAGGAGTCGGGCCTGGGAACCTGCCTGGTGTTGTTACGTACGTACTCAGTGCCCACAACGTCTGACCCACAGAAGCCTGCAACGAATATGGCTGATTCCGTTTCTGAGCACCAGCCCTTGGAATTTACCCATGGGCAAAGCTTGAGTCACAGTCATCAAAGCTGACAGAACCAAAAAGGACCTGGGGGCCGTGAATCAGAGCACCTGTGACCGTTGTGTCTGAGCAGCCTGAAGGGAAATCATTGTGACCTGACTGCAGAGAAACAGAGGAAGTTCTAATGGAAGTGTTAAGTGGTGGCACAACAGTGGGCACGTTATTTGTCAAAACAGATAGAAGACAAAATCTGAAAAGAACAAACTCCAGGCACCACCGCCAGGCGCCCGTCTGACCAGCGCTGGGATCTGAAGCAGTGGCGCGGAGGGAGACCTGACGCCCTGGCACGCTTTGTCAAGTCACGGCTTATCTGGGGGGAAACGCAAACCCCTTACCGACCAGCAGCGCCCAGGACCTGATGCCCGGAGCCCTCTTCAGGTGGAGGCAGGAGCCGGTGTGCACCTCCACCTGCATGTACATCCCGGAGCTGAGGGAGAAGAGAGACAGCTAGCTGGGGCCCGGGAGCCCACGGACCAAAAACAAGACCCACCTCCTTCTCCAGAGCCTGCTGGCCAGCCCAGGGCCCAGGGGCTCGAGACCCGGCCGGCCCTTGGCCTTCACCATCCAGACTGACTTTCCCCGACGGCAGCGCTGGTTCATCGTCCCCTATCTTCCTGGAGAGCCCCATCTCTTGGACATCAGTGCCGCTGTGGCCCCCAAACTTCCAGCACCCCAGGTACCCAAACCCCTTGTTAGCCCTGTGCTGGCCTCTACTAAGAGAAAAAAAAGCAAAAGGAAAAGAGGAGTCTGTGTTTTGCTTTCAAAGAAAAGTTATGTTCCGCAGACTCTCATCGGGGTTTGAGACGCCTGGCAGGGGCTGCAAATTCCAGCCTTCTCTTTCCCGGAGGGCAGCTGCTGAGACAGCAGCCTGCATCCAGCAGAGGACCCGGAAGTAAGGAAGGAGGCTTCTACCAACAGTGAGCTCCCCGAGGGCTGCAACAGCCCCGCAGACAGACCCTCCAGCCACTCAAAATCCTGCCTGCAGAGACCAGCTGTGCATAACTTCCCAGGTATGTCTCCTCAAAGTCCAATCAAATTTCTGCCGTTAATAGTGGATTCTAAGTCAACACCTGTTACTGAAACTTAGATCTGGGCAGGGTTGACCCCTGCCCCCTGTCCTAGGGGATATGACTCGCTCCACACGGACCCCCCCAGCCCTCAGGCCTGGTCTTGTCACACGACTCATCCTTTCCGTCACCAACTGCCACCCCCAAGTCTGCGCTCCACGAGAGCAGGACTCTCACTCACTGGAGTCAGGACTCCTTGCAGGTCACACACCTGCCAAAGAAGCCCGGGGCCTAAAGGTTCGGAACAAGAGGCGCCTACCAGCGGGGTTCGAGCCGCCGACCTTTTGGTTGGCAGCCGAGTGCTTTAACCACGGCAGCAGCAGGGCTCCTCTGTTGACTCCTACCTAAAATAAATAATAACTCGGGTTGGCGTGCTTGTCGAGTAAGACAAACAAAATATGCAACTGCTAGTCCAGACGCTCCGGCCGCGTTCGAGACGCGAAGCAGGCGGCGACAGCCTGGGGTAGGCACCGGGGTCCCCGTCCTCTCTAGCTCGGCTCCAGCCATCTGCCCGCGGGGCAGAAGTGGGCACTCGGTCTTCCCGCCCAAGGTCCGTCTGCGAGCGCCTCCCGGATGTCAAACAAACCGCCACACCTGCCGCGGCGTCGGTGCGGAACGAGGGCTCCGGACTGGCAGGGCCACGAGAGGGCGCACCAAGGGTCGGGTCCTCCCGAAACTTCCGCGTGTGAAAGGCCGGAGCACCGAAAAGAGACCCCTGCCCCGTCCCCCACCGCCCTGCCTCCCCGGCAACCCAGGAGGCCCGCCTGGGCCAAAGGCGCCTACCGAGGGGCTGTCCGCGCCCGCGCTACGGCCAAGGGACCCGGACCCGCGGCGAGCGAACGGAGGGCAGCAGTGACACCTACTTCCGGACTCTTGGGGATGGGGGCGGTGCTCACTTCCGGACTCGCGGGGGCGGGGGCTGCGCTTACTTCCGGACCGGAGAGGCAGGGGCGGTGCTCCACTTCGCTTCTCCGAGGTGGCCACATGGTTTACTTCGGGGCTCAGCGTGGGATTAATGGGCCGAGAGGGGTCCGGCGCTGAATGCTGGAATTCGAATTTAACCGCCCCCACCCCTCCCCCTCTGGAGTGGTAGAATAATCATCTCTAGTTTGACAACATACCAAACCAGAACCAAACCCACTGCCATGGAGTCGATTCTGACTCGTGGACCCTAGAGGACAGAATAGAACTGCCTATAGGGTTTCCATCTTTACGGAGGCGAACTGCCTCATCTTTTTCCTGCGGAGCAGCTGTGGGGTTCAACTCGGCTTCAAAGTGGCATGGTCTGACATCACCTTTCCTGCTGCTTCCTCATCTGGTCAAAATGACAGATTTGGTTGCCATGCACTGTGAGCGCTGTCCTTTCCGGTTGAAAGCCCCGGTTCAAACCACCAAAGCACTTTAACCACTGTGCTACCAGGGCTCCTTGGGAACCCCACAGATGGTCACTATGTTGGCCCAATCTTTTGGAGGGAGACTTGTAGTAGGAGAGTTTTCTCCAAGGAAACCTTCCAGCAGTCCAATAGGGAAGAGCCCCAGTGAGTGATTAAAGCTCAAGGCTGTGTTCCAATCTACCAGCTGCTCAGCGGGAGGAAAATCTGCCAGTCTGCTTCCGTAAAGACTGACACGGTTATAGATACACTCCTTGGCGATGTCAACCATGCGAGAACAGAGGACTGTGTCTGCACAGGGAGACAGCTTGGGGGCAGGGGTGCATGGAGGGGAGGAAGTGGGAAGGAAGCTGTTGAATTGTGGGAAATTGCAGTCACTGTCATGACACAAAAGTGCATGAGAGCTGCTGTATGGAAAGTGAATTTGCTCCGTAAACTTTCACCCAAATCACAATAAAATAAAATAAAAGATGTACAACTTTAGAAGCCCCTATGGGGCAGTTCTACTCTGTCCTACAGGGTTGCTATGAGTTGAAACCAAGGGCCCCTGGGTTTTGTGTTTTGGGGCAGTCTGTTGCTCCACCCTCTATCTAAACATTCCCCACCTTGCTGCTGCTATTCTGCAGTGAGGGCTCTTGCCCAGTGCCGATCACATCTCCCTACAGCAGGGACCCCAGATGCCAATTTCTCACCAGAAAAAGTACAAAAGGCCCTAGCTGGAACTAGAGAACTCCACCACACGGCCACTGCCCATTTCACCACTTCAGGGGTCTCCAACGTGGAATGGTCAGGATGCTAGAAAAACTAGAGCTTAGTCTAGATTTACTGTTCTCTTTTCTTTTTATACCTATTTTTGAGTATTTTATAATTTACCAAACATTAGTACAACAGTGCATATGATTCTATAAATAAACATACACAACATATCACTATGGAAGCAGGCCCAACCTTCTTTCCAAAAAGTGCCTTCTGGGTAGCAGTCAAATGCCTTAGGCACTACGCCACCAGAGCTCCTGTAAAGTAGTACCGTTACCCGCAATTTTTAAAACATGTTGGTACAGCTGGGAGCTCTACTGATACCACCTTGGAAACCCAAGGAGGGGTCGCTATGAGTCGGATTGGACTTGACGCCATTGGGTTTGGTTTGGTGCTTCTACTTTACCAGACTCCTGTGGTTCTCACACTTGAATGGCCATCAGAAGCACCAAGAGGGCTTGTTAAAACAGATCTGGGCCCTGTTCCCACTGTTTCTAATTCAGTAGGTCTTGGGAGAGGAGCTCAGAACTGAGGTGGCGCTGGTTACTTCTGGTCTTGGGACCACTCTAAGAGCTGCTGTTCTTGGCTTCAACCAAGTTCCTCGGCCTGATTCCTCAGCTCACAGTCCATCTTGCTGAAGTGCTCTTCCCTCTGTTAAGATCCTACATTTTGTTTGATTGATCAATACATTTTAACTGGAATAAAATTCGCACTGAAACAATAATTATTCTTTGCTTTGTAAAACGAACAGGAGCGCTGGGAGTGCAGTGCCTGAGGCATCTGACTGCTAACCAGAAGGTTGGGTTCAAACTCACCAGCCACTTACCAGAAGACTGGGCAATCTACTTCCCTAAAGATTTACAGTCTCAGAAACCCAAAGCGGGTTGCTATGAGTTGGAATCGATCTGATGGCAGTGAATTCAGTGAATTTGGGTTTTCTTTCTTTCTTTCTTTTTGTAAAATGTAGGGGACGGAATCACCAGTATACTTGGTAAAATCGGAGTCAAACGGTCTCCATTGAAAATCTGTCTTCGTGCTGTCGGGTTCAGTCCATGCGTTCACGGCTGGGTGCGGCCGCGCCTGCGCACTGGTCTCGGCTGTCCAGCGACACTGCAGGGCCTGCGGCGCGCCTACAAGACTCGCCTCGGGGTGGCGATGGCAGCTTGTCACGAGCAAAGGTGACCTCAGCCAGGGAGGGACGGTGTCCCGACGCCCGACTGATAGGGCTGTGCCCAGCCGCGGCTCCGAGGGCCGCCAGTCCTGCCAAGGTCCCAGCCCGGCTGCCCGCGAAGTCCCTGGGGTGGCCGCTTGACCCGAGCGAGAACGAAATGCCCCTACAAACCAGACCCCGGCCTCCAAGGCTTCCGGGCCAGCGCTGACTCGCGCTCCGCCCCCGCACCCGATTGGTTCCAGAGCCTCTCCCGCCCCTTCCCTACGCCCTCATTGGCCTAGACTGGGCCTTTTAGAGGTGGAGCTAGGCACGGATTCGCGAGCTTCGATTGGCTCTAGGTCCTATCCCGCCCCTTCCCAGAGTCCTCATTGGCCTAGAGTACGCCGCGTGGGGATGGGGCCGTGCCACCTCCGCGCCGGGGGCGAGGACAACAAAGGGCTGCGGGCGGCGGCAGCCGTGCCCCGAGTCTCCGGTATTTCCTTCAGGGTCAGGCGCCCTACCCTCGCGCCCGCCGCCCGCGCCCCGGGGCCTCCAGATGAAGTGTGAGCACTGCACGCGGAAGGTGAGCCCCGACTGGGCCGAGTCGGGCCGGGGTTGGTCGGCTTGAGGGGCGAAGGTCGGGGCCGGAGCGTTCTGTGAAGGGGCCAGGGTGTCGGACCGGGGGCTCACACATGGATCGGCCGCCCGCAGGGAGCGCCGAGGGTCGGTCTGGGGATTGGGGAGGGGGCCAAGGCTGGCCGTCCGCAGAGGGCGCCAGCGGTCGGTCTGGGGGTCGGGGACGGGGCCGAGGGCCGGCCGTTTGCCCTGAGAGGGCCCGGGGGTCGGTCTGGAGGTGGCGGCCCGGTTCTTGTGGCCCCATCGCCCCCGGAGGAGGCTGCGAATGGAAGCCTCGATGAGAGTTGCGCCACCGGGAGCGGCGCCCGGGCCCGTTCCGCGGGCGGCCGGGCTCAGCGCTGTGCCCCGCATGCGCTCCCTGCTGTCGGGCCTGGAGAGTAGTCCCAGGGTCTGCGCCCGGGTGGAGGCCTGGAGGCTGTGAGTTCTAGACGCCAACCCGCGGGGAAGGCTGCCTTGGCACCTTGCCCAGCAGCGCCCTTTCCTGGTCCACATTGACCGTGTCCGGGATGAACGATTAGTGGCTTAGTGTTCAGTGCACTTGTCCGTCCTCTGTGCCCCAAAAATATTTTTAACCAACAAAAAGCCAAACCAAAACCAAACCTCCCGCTGTCACCACTCAGGACAGTTGCATCAGATACTGTCCTTGGTGTGAGCAGTGGACATGTAACCAAAACTGCAGGTAGCTTGTTTTGGGGGGGGGTTTTAATACGTTTTTAATAACCCGCATGCTCGTAGTAACATGACAGTACACAGTCGTGTAGGGTACACAGGACCAGCCTCCTCTCCCTCCCTGCCCAGCCGGCTCCGTCCCCTAACAGTGGTCTCTGACGTTGGCCTTTTCCCTTCAAGTCTGTCTCTGGGCGATAATAACACACGTAAACACGCACACCTGAGATCTTTGTGTTTGCTTTTACAAAGACTGGATCACAACATGCTGCTTCTTCTGTAACTTGCGTGTTTTTTCCACTCAATACTACGGGAGGCATGTTTCAGAGCGTTCCATGCAGAAATTGCCCGCTCTTCGTAGTAACTACCCCGTTCACGAGGACAGGTGCGTCCAGGTGTTCCAACCTGCATCACCCTGTAATGGAAGGCTGTGGGTCTTCTCATTGCCGTTCCTACAGACAGTGCACATGCATGTGTGTCCTTGGTGGTGGGTACCTGTTTTCTGTAGGAGGGGTTTCTAGTCATGAGGCTGAACAGTCCAAGGGTATGTCAGTCTAGTACGTACAGGGAGACCCAAAGCTGCTCATTCGTGTGCTTGTCTGCTTCTTTAAGGAATGCAATAAGAAAACAAAAACTGATGACCAAGAAAATGCCTTGGTTGATGCGACCAGTCCAGCCCGGGAGAAGGAAGAAGTGAGTATATTTCTAGTGTTGTATCACATTTTCTATCTTCCCTTCAGGGACTTTTCTCACCGTACACATCACTGCTCTCAAACACACAGAAGTAAAACTGAAAGAGGTTAAGGAGGGGCTTCGCCAGGGCTCCGGCTGCATGGAGGCCAGTCAGCAGCGTACTTCTTCAGGGAAGTGCCTTCCCAAGGGCCTAAACCAACTGCCTTTGGACAAAAGAAAGACACCAGCCTTAGTCACTGAGTAGAAGTAATAATGTGACATTTAAACCGCAAGCTCTTTTTCTAATGTAGGTTCCGTTCTGTAAAATGGGAGTTTAGATGAATAACTTTTAGCTTTTCAAATTTCATAATTCTGTAAGTATGTTTCTTTTCCTCATGGTTTCTTCTCTAATCCAGTTAATGAAGTTTTTCGCCCTCTTTAGTTAGAAGTGATGGTTATGTTTACTAGGTAGATGCCCTGTGCTGGGTGCCCTAGAAGGTGCCGTGTGCGCTGGGCTCCTGTGCTCAGCGCAGTGTCCCAGGTGGGCCCTGTGGCCATCCCCATTTTACAGCGAGAAAGACACAGGTGAGACAGGTTAAGTCCCTTCTTCCAGGGGAAGCTAAGGAGACTGTGTTTTCCTTACAGTCCTTAGTGGATTTTCCCTTAAAGTTTTATGGTCCCAATGTGACATTTACTGTGATAAGCACTTGTCTGGCTCCTCCTGTGTCCATCCTTGTGCTTTGGGGACCATGAAGGACTCAGGGAGTAGGAAGGGGATGAAGCATGGGCTCTAAGAGGCATCCTGCATGTTAGGAGGGAGGGAGCTTTTGGGCCCCAAAGCCAGTGCAACCCATGCCTGACACCCAACCCCTGTGCACACAGTTCCTTATCAGAGTTGGGAGTCGGGAGTGGGGGTCGGGTTGCATCCCTGTGCTACAGGCAAGATAAGCCCTGTGCTTCCCTGGGCTGCCTTGTCGGAGACACCACTTAGAGTAGGGTGGGGTGAGCGCTCACAGTGGGACATACTAAGCTGGGACAGTGTGGACAGGAGTGGTCCTGGGAAGGGGCTGAGGCTCTCTTCAGCCAAGCCAATGGCAGATGGGGGTTGGTGAGGATGTAAGAACTGTTGTTGAAGAATCAGGGCAAAACGTTGTCCTTCTTTTCTAGAAGGGAGAATTCCATAAGTTGGCTGATGGCAAAATATTTCTGAGTGACTGTCTGGCTTGTGACAGCTGCGTGACTACAGGAGAAGGGGTCCGAATTTCCCAGCAGAATGCCAAGGACTTCTTCCGCGTTGTGAACCTCAATAAGGTGTGACGTGCGCCTGACAGCCCGCTGCCTCGGGGAAGGTGGGCGGAGGGGCCAATGATGCCTCTGCGCCCAGTGATTGAGGTGTGTGTGTGTGAGCAATGGTGCACGTGTGAGCGTGGATGTGGGTGAGCAAGAGGTACGTGTGTGAGCATGCGTGTGTGTGAGCAAGGGATGCATGGGTGAGCATGCGTGTGTGTGTGAGCGAGGGATGCATGTATGTGTGAGCGAGCTATGCACGTGTGAGCATGCATGTGTGTGAGTGAGGGATGTATGTGTGAGCGAAGGATGCACATATGAGCATGCATGTGTACATGAACGAGAGGTGCACATGTGAGCGTGCACGTGTGAGCATGTGTATGAGGTGTACATGTGTGAGCGTGAATGTGTGGGAGCGAGGGATACACACATGAGCATGAATGAGCGAGGGATATACATGTAAACATGCATGTGTATGGGTGAGGGATGCACATGTGAGCATGAATGGGTGAGCAAAGTGTACACGTGTGAGCATGAATGTGTGGGAATGAGGAATGCACATGTGGGCATGCATGTGTGTGAGCGAGTGATGCATGTGTGAGTATGAATGTGAGCAAGGTATATATGTGTAAGTGTGCCTGGGTGAGGTGTACATGTGAGCATACATGTGTGAGTGAGGTATACATGTGAATGAGTATGCCTGGGTGAGGTGTACATGTGTGGGCATGCATGTGCCTGGGTGAGGTGTACATGTGTGAATGAGTGTACCTGGGTGAGGTGTACATGTATGTGTGAGCAAGGGGTGCATGTGAATGAGTGTGTCTGGGTAAAGTGTACATGTGTGAGTGTGTGTGAGTGAAGGGTGTGTGTGTGAGTGTTGAGTCTTCCTGTTTCAGAGTATGTGTGTCCGTGGATAGGTGTGTGTACGTGCACTGAAATTGAGTGGTTCTTGGGTTAGTTCTGGTTTTCAGGGTCAGTGTAGGTGGTGTATGTGTCCACCCAGGTACTTGGGTTTACTGATGTTATACTGTTGCTAGGACTCCCAGAGCCTTTTGGATCAGGAGTTCTGTCCCATTTACGATCCTGATTCTTCTGTTCTTTTTTCTTAACTGTGACTTCCGGTGTTTGTCTCTTTTAGTCATCACTGTTCCATTTTGTTTGTTCCTGACTTCTCAGTAAGGAGCTGCCTTCTTGCACTGCCCCTTGTCCCCACGTGCATAACGTCATTCTGTTCTACCTTTAGAAATGCGATACCTCACAGCACAAAGTGCTGGCTGTGTCTGTGTGTCCTCAGTCGTTGCCTTATTTTGCTGCTAAATTCAACCTCAGTGTGACTGATGCTTCCAGAAGACTCTGCGGCTTCCTCAAAGGTCTGGGTGAGTTGACTTTGGATGTTTCAGTAACTTGAGTTTATAACTGCACTTTTATCTTTCAAGTTCACGTTTCAAGGGCACAACATGGATGAGAAACGTTCACGAGAGTCTGGCTTGTGGTATGTAACACGACCCAGCTCTGTGTCCTGCACCTAGCTTGGATCTGTGGAGATGTTCCCACCCCACCTTACCATGCAAATGGGTGTTTGCTGCCATGGGGCCATTGCCTGGCTAAGAGTGGGGGGTGGGGGGGCCTTCCAGAACTGATTGGCATCTCGGGTCATGGCCTGGCTGGCAGTGGTGGGGGATGGACTGAACGTCTGGACTGATCGGTATCTGGTTTCCCAAGGAGCAGTTTGCAGAGCAGGAGTGTCAGGAAGTAGTTGGGTTCAGTTTATGTGGGGAAAAGAAGAGGGTAGTTCAGCAATAGGAGCCAGGACCCAGATGACAGCACTGGAATAGTAAGGCCTAGAACAAGAAGGAAAATTCTCCTGCATTTTCTGCTTTCACAAAACTCCCAGCCCCTGCATCCTTGCATCCTGGCCACCTGGCATGTAACATCTCCAAAGGGGACTTGACCAGACAGGGTTCTTCTTACTCACATGGCTGTTCTGAGACTCACGTAGACTGGGGACAGTGAGCAAAGACCAAGTGAGTCCTGGGAACTGGCCTTATGAGATCAGGCCAGGATCTGCAGGGCCAGCCCAGAGCCACACGGCCCCTCCACATGTCTGCTACAGCAAGCACCCTAGACCATAGCCATGTCACAGCACTGCAAGCATAGCCACTGACAGGGGCACTAGGTTGTCCCTTTATGACGTTATTCTTGAAAGCCTGAGGCTAGCCTAGTTTCACCCAGGACCAAAGCTGAAAAACACTAAATCTTTTCATGGTCAAAGTCCCTATTGGCGTTGGGGGGAGGTTTATTTAAAATATATAGTTGAATGATTTTGGCAGCAAAAAATGTACATCTGCAGTGAAACTGGTTTCTTGAGGTAATACTTTGAAATTTACAGTACTCCTTTTTAAAAACAATTGGCTCTTTTTGAGATTTAGACTTGCTCTGGATACTACAGTGGAATGAGGGATATCTTTATTGATGTCAGATGGATCTTGGCTGGAAGCAAAGAGTACCAGAAAGATGTTTACTTGTGTTCTGTTGACTATGCCAAAGCATTCAACTGTGTGTATCATAACAAATTATGGATAACATTGAGAAAAATGGGAATTCTAGACCACTTGATTGTTCTCATGAGGAACCTATACATAGATCAGGAAGCTGTCATTCAAACAGACAAAGGGATACTGCATGGTTTAAATTCAGGAAGGGAGAGTGCGTCACGGTTGTATCCTTTCACCATACTTGCTCAATATGTGTGCTGAGCCATAATCTGAGAAGCTGGACTATATGAAGAATGCAACATCAGGATTGGAGTAAGACTCATTAACAACCTGCAGTATAGAGATGACACAGCCTTGCTGAAAGTGAGCATGACTGGGAGAGTTTACTGGTGGGGGTGTAGTAAATTAGCTGGTACGGCTTTTCTAGCCATAAGTCTTTATAAACTCTGTGGTGGAATTTGCTGTGAGCAATTGAGGAGCTCCTGATTGTTAAAGTTGTCCACCTGGGGTATTTCTGTTGAGAGTGGCACAAAGCAGTGTTCTGGAAAGTTTGTGCTCTCTCAGGTGCTTAGAATTCTAATGTTATGATTGGTTAGTTTGGCCATTCTGCCAGGCTCAAAGGAGCCCTACTAAAGGCAGAAGGAGTCTCTCTGACTGCTGGCTGAGAGAAGGACATGCTGCTGAGAGAAATGTGCTCCTGAGAGACATGCATTGCTGGGAGAGAGACGTAAGAGATACTCATTGCTGGGAGAGACACTGAGAGACATGCACTGCTGAGAGAGAGACTGAGAGAGACTGTTGGCTGAGACAGCGGGCTGAGAGAGACTGAGCGTGTTCCTGAACTTAAATTATAGCCTGGTGCTTCCCTAACAAACCCCATAATATGTGAGTTCTGTGTGGCCACTGCAGCAAATTATCAAATCCAGCAGAGAGGTGGTAGGTGCTGCGGGAGGAATGGTTGGTGTCAGGGTTGGTGTCGGCTGGAGGGAGGCGGCCTGTCTGGCCTCGCAGGGTTAGGCTTTGGGCTGCTGGTGGTGTTTCTGTCTTCCTCTTGTGGGGTTAGAGGAGGTCAGAAGATGTGGCCTCCTTATCTTTTTTGGCAATGGTGAAGATTAAAGTCTACAGTCTGCAGTATGGATTACTCCTCAACATAAAGAAAACAAAAATCCTCACAACTGGACCAGTAAGCAGCATCGTGATAAACGGAGAAAAGATTGAAGTTGTCAAAGATTGCATATCACTTGGATCCACAATCAACATGCTTGGAAGCAGCAGTCAAGATATCAGACTGCGTATTACACTGGGCATATCTGTTGTAAAAGACCTCTTTAAAGTGCTGAAGAGCAAAGATGTCTCTTTGAAGACTAAGGTGCACCTAACCCAAGCCATGGTGTTTTCAGTAGCCTCATGTGCATGTGAGAGCCAGACAGTGGATAAGGGAGAGGAAGGAAGAGTAGATGCTTTTGAGTTGTGCTGGAGAAGAATACTGAAAGTACCATGGACTGCCAGAAGAACGAACAAATCTGTCCTGAAAAGGAATGCCCCTTGGAAGCAAGAATGGCCAGACTTTGCCTCACCTACTTTGGTCATGGTGTCAGAAGGGACCATTCCCTGGAGGAGGATATCATGCTTGGTAAAGTGGAGGGTCAGCGATAAAGGGGAAGGCCCTCGAAGAGATGGATGACACGGTGGTTGCAGCAGTGGGCCCAAGGATAGTGTGGATCGTGAGGGTGGTGCAGGACTGGGCTGTGCTTCGTTCTGTTGTACACGGCATCACTATGAGTCAGCGCCAGCTCAATGGCACCTAGGAACAGCAGCAATATTTTGTAATCACTGAGCATGACCATGTCCCTCTGTCTCAGGCTTACTGATACTAAGAACAGTCTAAGCTTTAAGAAAGAGACAGCTAGTTAAAAACTAACATAGGAGGAGTTCCGGCAAGATGACAAACTAGGCACAAGGACTGCACAGACGCTCTTCAACAAAGAAAAGGGAAACCACTTAACACAGACACAGAAGATAATCTTGGACCCCTGAGCCTTGAAGGGAAGGATACAAAAGTGGACTAAACCCCAACTAGCAGAAGAATTT